TTTTTTGGTATATTGTCGATAGATATTAATCATACCGCATGCATCAAGCCGCAATCTTTCAGTTTTTTTTTTTAAATTCCCCCAGCCGCCGTATTGCGGCCATCATCCGATGGCCTGCCAATGGAAGCTACCTCTGCACCTGCATGACGTGATTTGAACAGGAAAGGTTCTGTCGGCCGCTGCATGAGTCACATCACTGGCCGGTAGAGCTTCCACAATAACGTCGGCATGGTAAAGCTGCACATCCTGCATACAAGTAAAAGCATGTGAAATTGGACGCCGTATCTCTGCAGACCACCTTCCTAGATCACTCGCCAGTTCTGACTGAGGCGCTGTTGGTGGATCAAATGAAAACTGATGCGCTGTCGGCGGATCAAACGAAAAAATAGGAACAAAAATCGGACGAGTATGTTGTGCTGAGAAGTGGTAGTACGAACACTATCAGTAAAGCAGACAGAGAGGAGGGGCAAAGGGAGCACGTGCCCCCCCCCCCCCTGGTTTCGAGCGGCATTTCGGGTCCTTCGGTACCTATGATGAAGTGTCCGATTCGAGGGCCCGAAGGGGCTGGAAGCCCGGCCGGAGGCCAACCTCCAAATTCGCAGGTTGTTTCCAGTTTGACCAACCCAATCCAGGTTCGCCCCATCCCATTTCTGAAGCGCGGTTACACCCAATAGCGCAGACAGAGGGGAGGGTGGAGTGGGGGTGAGGCACAAAGGCACGTACCGTCCCCCCCCCGCCCCTCGCCATCAGGTCTCGAGTGGTCCGAACGGTCACTCCGATATCTACGATTAAAGGTTCGATTTGAGGGTCAAAGGGACCGAAAGAGCGGCCGGAGGTCATATTCAGTGGCCCCGGCTCGTAGGGCCGGCACTCTGATGCTAGCCAGAGGGTCCGCACGCTGATTAGGGACCCCTGAGTCGACAGGTGGCTGTATGTCGGTCTGTAGCCGGTCTGTAGCCGGGTCCAGCAACTTACATTGGCCGGAGACCGCGTATCTGTCAGGGGCCAACAGCGCCTAGCGGAGTATCCTGTATTCACAAGGGCCCCGAGCCGACCAAGGGCACTGTTCGATGAGGCCCAAAGAGGGGCCCAGGCAGCCCACGGAGCCGACGACGAAGGATCGGTTGGAGGGCATAGGGGCTTGAAGGACTGGTTGTAGGTGGCTGTACGCAGCTGTAGCATCGCGGCCCGTAGTGCCGTGACCTGAAATGTCCATTGTAAGGACTCTGTTGGGCCCTCTTATTAGGGTTCTCCATCTTTATGATATAGGGCCTTGGCATTGAGCCAGACAGTCGACCCCATGTCCGTCTTACGTTTGGGATCCAATTCTCTAGCAGGAACGAGGCCGGGGTGCACGATTTGCAGTGTTCGGCGTCGCTAACACAATGAGCGGCTCCCGTGTTGGTCATGAGCCACATTGCCTAACAGGGATCCTATCGCGGCAGGTGGCTCCGAGTCGGCCAGGAGCGGTGCTGAGGGGGCCAGAAGAGGGGCCGAAGGGACTCTCGAGACCAAAGATTGACTCCCACCCGTCAGGACGTGACATGAAATGTCAGTTGGAGGGCCTCTTGCACCGATTGGGGACCCCTGAGAGAGCACGTTCCTCCGTTTTGGCCAGGAATCACCGAACAGCCGGCGCCTTGTCGGTCTGAGCTCTGGGAGCCCATCCCCAAGCAGGGACAAGGCCGGGCCGTGATTTGCATTGGTTGGGGCACCTGCGGGCCTCCTGTATGTATCAGGGGCCCAAAGTGATTAACGAAGTGTTATGTGTCAATAAGGGGCCGCGAGTCGGATGGGGAAACGTTTGCTCAGTAGGAACGGGGACGGGACCCCGATTGACAGAGGGCTTCTTGCGTAGGCCGGGCCCTCTGACAGGGAAAGAAAACTTGAGAACTTATCAAGTGCTCACACTGAGAACGTGGAATGGTACTGTGTCAGCCAGGGCTCCCAGCACCCAACGGTGGGCCCTTCAACCCAATTCCAGCACTGGAGACTAAGTACCACTTATTGGACAACCTCCGGCGATCAAGGACGTTGTTGCGTCAGTGAGGGCTCCTGCATTGATCCTGGGCCAACTGCGCTGGTCAGCAGGTCTCCGGCGTCAGGGGGAGGAACAAAGCGATATAATGTAGCTTTGAAAGGGCCTCCGGATCGACCAGGGAATCTCTCCGCGTGTTGCCAGAATGCCAGCCGGAAGACGCCCCATGCTGGGACGAAGTGACCTTCAGCCGTTTACCGCTAACAAAAATGTGATCTTAGTCTTCTGCTCAAATGTGACCTCGCCCAGAAAAGAATAATGGTCTCAGTAGTGCTGAAAAGAGAAGGTCGAATGCGTTAAAAACGAATAAAGTCATCTTATGTCAGCAGTCTAGTCAGTCAGTCTAGTCTAGTCTAGTCAGTCTAGTCTCAGAACGTTCATTCTTTTGCAGAATCGCCTAGAGAAACAAACTACATCAAATGGCTTGAGCCTGTGTGCCTGTAATCTCAAGAGCAGGGACAGCGGTGGAACGGGCTGCAGCTTCCGCAGTCGAATGGAGATGACTTATGCAAGTGACACCAGGTGGCGGGCGCCGTGCGCGCGAAAACGACCGTCATGAAATGATGGTTACGAATGTCTTTCTAAATTAGCATTAGGCTGGGTGATCTATTCCGCAACTTTGAAGTCTGCAGCTCTGGACAGATTGACAGATTTGACAGATACAGCAACACGGAAGAAAGGGGTTCTTCCTTTGCTTTTTCAGTCCCACCACCAGATGTCAGCACCAAGCGGTTCCGCTAAGGCCAATCCGTTCCTGTCATCGATCTGAAAGTCATACATGTGAGATATACCCCCGGACTACCTTCTAAATGTGAGATTTGATGTTCTAAAGCGTTCAAAGATGCTGCTTCCAGAAGCGTCGTAATTTGTACTTGCTCGTCGACCGCGGCTCAGTGTTAGCTACCAGACCGATGCCGCGCGAGCTAAGGAGACTGCAGCGCATGGCGTCGAGGCTTTGTTGCCAAGCCTTGCGAGCGCGCATGTTTAAATTAAAACTACGTTACATAATTTGTATCACTAATCGATGCTGACTGAATGTGCAGGCTTTTCAGACAACTTTGGCTTCGCCATTTTTGTATAAGTTGTTAGCCCATCTGATCTACAGTCTACATTCGCGCGGTCCTTATTGTGCGCAGAACCTAGATACAAATTCCGGCAAAGCTCTGAGTTCTATGAGATTTGAAAGAGTCCACTGGACCATTACATGATGAAGAGCGCTAGGGGGTCATTTCATGCAATTTTTTAAAGCACGTAATTATTTTTAAAGCAGCTTTTAAGCTTTTTGACCATCAAATTCAGACAGATCTGGTCTCGCGGTAGCATCTGGCCCCTCACATATTACTTTTTAGTACACAGGGGAGAAGTATGAATGCAACCGTTTAGCTTCACAGAACAAATGCGCTTACAAGACTAAAATTCAAACTGCCAGGCTTCCATATGCGATTGCTGTTGCTACGCACGTGAGTTTACAAGATAGGTAGCAATTGTATTATATATACATGCATATATATATATATATATATATATATATATATATATATATATATATATGTGTGTGTGTGTGTGTGTGTGTGTGTGTGTGTGTGTGTGTGTGTGTGTGTGTGTGTGTGTGTGTGTGTGTGTGCGCGTGTGCGTGTGCATGTGCGTGTGCGTGTGCGTGTGCGTGTGTGTGGGTGTGTGGGTGTGTGTGTGTGTGTGTGTGTGTGTGTGTGGTGTGTGTGTGTGTGTGTGTGTGTGTGTGTGTGTGTGTGTGTGTGTGTGTGTACAGAGTGGATAGCCAGAAATTTAGAGTGTAAGTGAACTGTACCAGATAAGCTCTGCCTTCCAAAGGTAAAACTCCATATGTTAATTTTTGGCCATTTTCGCTTTTTATGTCATCTGATTCACCTATTCATGCTGATTTCGATTATTCAAACAATCAGGGCAAATTTTCACAAACTATGAGTCATTTCTTTTAGCTAAAAGTGTGTAAAATTCCAACTATCGGTTTGAATATCCGGATGCAGCATGAGAAGACGAATCAAATGACATAACAACCGCACAATGGTTAGAAATGAACATATGGGGTTTTACCTATGGACAGCAGAGCTTTTCGCACCTGCCCCTTTATGGCGACTTACAAAGACTCTATCCCCCAATTATGTTGAGAAATCGACACTTATGAGTTCGAGCAGTATCCATAACTCCCATTTCGTCCAATGTTATCCTTACATCTCCGATAGCTTCAAGTACCACTGAACGAATAAACCACACGTGCGATCCTCACGACCGTCGTCAATCTGCGATTCTTCATTTGTTGCCCTTTCGCTTTTCACATAAATCAACGTCTTTCTACGAGTGGAGATACTAAGAGTCTTGTTGCTCGCGCAAAAACATAAACATATCTTCGGCGGGCTGACTGCCGCTTAACTTGTTAAATCCACGTATGCGAATAGGGACAACTTAACCGCAACGTCATGGGATTACAAGCCAGCCGGTTCTTTCTGAAATAAACTGAAAATGAAAAGTGTGTGGAACTGTCGATGTCACTGCAAGGGTGGCGAAATACGCGGCATTGCTTTAATATAACTCAGAATCGAACTACCAGCCCACCCCTCCGCAATTCATCCGCTGGGACAGCGAGGTGAGGGTCCTACCCGTGTCTGCCTGACCGTTCCAAAGACCAGGCTGGGCGTAAGCTGCCACAATGAGTCAGGCATAACAAGGTTTACACTGAATAGATTTTGCAGTTTGTTGGGGAACTTGGCAGTTAATAGTGGAGATTTAACCTCCTCCCACCCCCCCCACCCCCTTCTGCACCCAAGTAACCATGCTAAAATAGGACTTGCCAAATGTCGTCGCCTGATAAAATGCTTCCCAGTGACGTCATAAGATGATCCGACGGAATGTTTACAAGACGCATATTATGCTTTCCATTGCACGACTCCTTGTCAGTGCAATATTTATTCGCCGCTTATTGTTGCTGTGCGAGAGTGCAGCACGAGAGGTGGTGTTGATGTGTGGTTGATTAGGTCGAAGTGAGTGAGGACAGAACATGCTATTTATTTACAATATTTGGCACCAGCAGGTAAGAAGCATGGACGAGTCGCTCGTGGCTGTATGGTGTGTATATTGGTGCAAACGTTGTGTGGCTTGTGTTATATGAATGCACCACAGACCCTAAATGCGTGCCGAGGGGGCGTGATACGCAGTCTGATGCCAGCGTACACCATGCACATGACGTTTGCTGACCCCGATCCAGTCTTAAAGAACATGCAGGATGTAGATGGCGATACGAAAATGCCTAGGTGTGATGAATGATCAGGCCGGGGCACCACCCTTTCCAAGAAGTTGTAAGTCAGGTATGCGGTGAAAGAGCACCTTATGTATACTTGCTGTATCTGAAGGCTACAAACCATTGGGAGTTTTGCATGATTTTCTGAGCTGGATCAATTCTAAGCCTATCATGATCACCCACACCTATTTGGGATGCAGACATGTATTGGTGCCAGGGATGTTACTGTTTACTGTTACTGTTTACTGTTGCTGTTTGTGTTACTGGCTATGAACACTTTGCTAGTTTAGAAAAAGCGATGTCATTCCTGTTTTAGGCACTTATTTTACTTGTTGTCTATCATATTGCTCTATAAGTGTAATGTTGCTCAAATTAAGCAAGCTTGAGGTTCTAAAATGGGTGGATGATATACAAATTTCTTAAGTGTAGCTCATCTTCGGCTGTGATTTTGCCAGCAATAGCTGTTAATCCTTTTTGGCATGTAAGCACGGACTCACAAGCACTTCCACTAGATATGTCCATTCTCAGCCTTGGTATATGATAACATGTTCTCACATGTGAACTTTTCCTGCCAGCACCATACCACACCATGAATATTATGAAAAAGTTCTGGGGGAGCAGTGGCTCCCACCCAGAAGATGCTGTTATGAGCCAGCAGATTGCACTGAGCCTTACACACCTGAAGAAACTGTATGGTGAATATGTGCGCCCACCTCAGCCACTAACTGAGGCTGAGCGGGAGCTCAAGCTGTACAGCATGCTGCCACTATTCTGCAAGGTGAGTGACTGTGGTGGGTGTCTGAGGTGTGTCCCCCTGCTTTTTGTATGTCCATTAGCAGGTATAAAGCACAAATTCATTTGGCACTCATAAATGAAGTGGGATCCCATGGGTCAGAATTTTTCAAATTGTGATTCAAGGAGGAGGAAGGGTTAAGATTGAGAGCATTTGTCTACCTAATCATCCACCCTAGAACCTGAAATGACAAATGGAGAAATGTATTTGCCATGTATGTGGTGGATGCTGAGTAAGTGCCCAGGACCAGACAATTACAAGAAGAGCGAGCCTACATATGTCGCAGGGTTGGCTGCATTGGCCTTAGTGTGCATTGACCAAGCATGTATGAGATGTATGCATCAGAAAGCCAGAATTTTTGTGCCTATCTTAGGTGATGTGTGCATCTACATATAGGTGACTGACAGACCACAGAGGGCCCTGACCATGCAACTGAGTCTGTTTTTCTGTACACAAGCATTTAAAGAAGTCAGCCTATGGCACATCTGTGACAATGGTAATAAAATAGCAGCATAACCTGGATGGCCTACTATGTTATGTGCATTTGATGCCCTGTACTGCATTGTATACCTCATTGCTTCCTGTTGCTGGTGCCAGGTGTTCGCGGGCGCCTCCGGGCAGGAGATCGCTGACCGCTTCCCGCAGTGTATCCAGCTGAGTGAGTTCACCACCAAGCTGATGGTGGCGGAGATCCGGCGGCGTGCCTTCAATGAGAACACAGCACTGGCCAGCTGCGAGATCATCAGGTGAGTCTGATTATCTTCATGTGGTCATCAGGTGAGTCAGGAATCGTCAATGTCGGTGCTGGCCAGCTGCAAGATCATCAGGTGAGTGTCGGTCGGCCGGAGAACACAGCGCTGGCCAGGTGCGAGATCATTATGTGAGTGCCGGTTGACGGGAGAACATAGCGCTGGTCAGCTACGAGATCATCAGATGAGTCTCATCATCATCATGTGGTCATCAGGTGAGTCAGGAATCATCAGTGTCGGTGCTGGCCAGCTGCAAGATCATTATGTGAGTGTCAGTCGGCCGGAGAACACAGCGCTGGCCAGCTGCGAGAACATTATGTGAGTGTCAGCCGGCCGGAGAGTACAGCGCTGGCCAGCTGCGAGATCATTATGTGAGTGTCAGTCGGCCGGAGAACACAGCGCTGGCCAGCTACGAGGTCATCAGGTGAGTGTCAGCCGGCCGGAGAGGATGCGGCGCTGGACGCGAGGCCGCCGCGGCGCTGGAGCGCGCTGCTCGGCTGGCCGGCGGGCTGTGCGGCGAGCCGTGCCGTGTGTGTAGTGGGGCGTGAGCGGTGAGTGGTCGATGTCGGCGTGCGGGTTACAGCTGTGGTCCATCGCACACGCGGCTCTGGCTTTCGGCGTGGCCGCCTGTCACGCTGGTTGGCGTGGTTGCGCCGGTGGCTGGCGGCCGCTGTATGCGCGACGCGGGCCCTGAGCCCCCGTCCTCAAACCCCGCGATCAGCCGATGCCTCGGGGATGCGTCTCGCTCGGTTGTCTTGCCAGCTGACGGGCACAGCCCCGTGGTCGCCGCAATGCGGCTGGCGCCGTCGCCATCAACGCATCGTCTCGCTTGAACTGGCCACTGGCGGCGGGTGGGGCGGGGCCCGCCGGTCGGCCTGGGACCGACGCGTCACGCCGCCGGCAGCTACCTGGAGCTGGGCGGCGCCGAGGAGACGTCGAGTGGCTGGACGCTGCTCAACACGCTCACCCTGCTGAGCTCGGCCGGACCCTCCGTCGTTCAGGTCAGGCGCGTCCGCTGCTGCTGCGGCTGCGAGGGTTTGGAGGGAGAGGGGGGGGGGGGGGATACGGTGGAGTTTTTGGTCGATTATTTCCGCACTAAGCTCACAAGCGCCATGTCAGTACGTGGGAGCGGTGGGAGGGGTGTGGGCCGCGTATTAAGTCGTCCCGTTTCACCCTCGCTGTTTGTGTGCGGCGTGCGGTCGCGGTCGCGCCGCGTGGAGACCGTTGGACGTCGGACAGGGTCGGTTGGCATCGGGCGGCCGGCTGCCGTCGTGTTCGGGGTGTGCGGCTCGTTGCGTGAGATGATCAGATGCTGGGCATGATGCAGACGCTGTGTAGGGCCAGCCATTGATCACCCATGGGGCTGCCCACTGGTTTGATTCAGTACCGTCGCGGATCATACGCCGTTGAAAAGGCGCCCCGAAATGTCACGCCCCTCTTGGTTGCCTCCGAGTTAGCCTTGATAAATTGGTTTAATCCACATTTCACGCCGGCTGTGGCCCATGTCAAGCCGTTGTAAGCTAGCGAAATGTGAATATCGTGCTGAGACTTGCGGATTCTGAGCGTATGCTCTGCTCGCAGACTTTGGTGCAGAGAGTTTCCTTCGCTCTTTATTCACGTGTCGAAGAGGCGTAATAACCAAAGGGTGAGAGCGTGGTTATCCCAATTGGGGGGCTGGGTTCAGATCATGGTCTCACCATCGCCCTTGAGCATCAATGTGCAGTCGCTGGCGCTCCGTAAAAGGCCGTGACGACGTGTGGCGTGTTTCGGTTAAAAAGAGACATAATTCACGTATCGATTAGCCCGGCTTGATCTCAGCTGAGTGTCGCCGCACGCCCATGCCGTCGTGACGTCACTTGCGTTGAGCCGGACGCCTGCGGCCGCGCCTCAGGCGATGGTGGCCGCCGCCCTGCCGTCCACGCTGGTCAAGTGTCTGTACCTGTTCTTCGACCTGCCCGAGCTGGGCACGGACGTGGCCGCCGGCACCGAGGTCACGCCCCACGAGAGTCGCGCCCTCCTGCAGAAGGTGTTTGTCCAGGTGAGGCCGACTCCTCCAGTGATTGTCTTGCCTAGCCCCCCCCCCCCCCCCCCCACCTTCCTCCACACCCCCTCCGCGAGGAGGTGCAGCTTCAGATGAAGTGTACGAACCTGTATATTTTTTTGTTGTAATTTATGGAGTGCACGTGTGCACAGCGTTTTCACAACGATGTCTGGGAACCTTTTCAGCCTACGCCCTGCCTTCGATGATTCAACTACGACCCTTTTTGTGAATTTTGACCATCCGGAGCTCCAAGGTTATTTGTGTTATGTCGTGGCTTGTCAAGCTGATGAGGGTATCAAATGATGTAGTCATTGACGTTATGTATTTCAGTAGCTAGCTTGAGAAAAATTTCATCAATGAACCTGTTGTATCTTGCTCGTTTTTAGACCATGATGGAATCAACTGATTTTTGAATGCGTATTGTCCGAATATTTTGATTGGATGAATATCTGGGATCGGGGCTCACGCCAAACAGTGTGTGCTGTATGGGCCCAGACCCCCCCCCCCCACACACACCACCACCCGATCGATCAGATCAGATTCAAAATTCGAGGTCAGTGTCATAACTTCGCGGCGCATGCTTAGCGCGTCGCGGCGCCCGGAGCGGTCCGTCCTGCCCTCTGACGTCACTTGACCTTTGGCGCGGCCGCTGCCACCGTATCTGACCTCGAGCGGACGTCACCGGCCGCGGACCACCCTAGCTTATGAAAAATAGCGATTGCTGAGTGACACGCGTCCACCCACCCCACCGGGAGTGGGGTGGGAGGCAAGCGTCGTAACCGACCGAACGACGGGGGTCGACAAACGGGGGCGATGTGTGCGTGGGAATCAGCACAGTATCCAAATGGCATGTGTTTGTAATGAAAGCCAGTACTAGGAAGCAGTGGACGTCCGCTTGCAAGCAAGCGTAAGTGCAAGCAGATTAAGGTCAAAGCGTTTGTGGGCGACATCAAAGGAACGTCACGTGTCCCGATTGTTTTAGCGGACAGTCCGCCTACGCGAGCGGTCCCAGTGACGTCAGACTGACGTCACGCGTCGGCCCTGTTTCAGCTGATGAGCCGGCTGTGCAGCAGCGCTTGTGCGGCGGACGAGCTGGCGCGCCGCGACGATCTGAGCCTGCTCTTCTCGGCCATGACGTCGCCGTGTCCGCCGCACAACGTCAGCTGGCGCAAGTCGGCCAGCGAGGTGCTGATGGCGCTCAGCAGGAGCGGGCTCAGCGTCAACACCGTCACCTACATACACAGTACGGGCCTGGCCTGGGCTGGGCTGGGCTGGGCTGGGCTGGGCTGGGCTGGGCTGGGCAGGGCTGGGCTGGGCTGGGCTGGGCTGGGCTGGGCCTGACGGCCGTGGCCGTCGCAGTGCCGTGCCGTGCCGTGCCGTGCCGTGCCGTGCCGTGCCGTGCCGTGCCGTGCCGTGCCGTGCCGTGTGCGTGCCGTGTGCCGTGCCGTGCCGTGCCGTGCCGTGCCGTGCCGGCCGTGCCGTGCCGTGCCGTGCCGTGCCGTGCCGTGCCGTCGTGCCGTGCCGTGCAGTGCCGTGCCGTGCCGTGCCGTGCCGTGCGTGCGTGCCGGGCCGTGCCGTGCCGTGCCGTGCCGTGCCGTGCCGTGCCGGGCCGGGCCGGGCCGGGCCGGGCCGGGCCGGGCCGGGCCGGGCCGTGCCGTGCCGGTGCTGAGCTGAGCTGAGCTGAGCTGAGCTGCCAACTCAGCGCCGTGCCGTCGGCGGCCGAGGACGTCTGCCGGGGCTGCTAGCTTCAGCAAAGGCTTTCCATTGTTGCTTCGAAGGAAATTTTGAAGGTGGCTTGTTCAATTGCGTTTCCCTGTCGTGACGACAGCGACAAATGTGCGGTAACGGTATGCTGTACCAGCCCAGGCCTGGTTTTGTCGTAAAATGCTGGCGGCACAATCTGGCAGCGTACATGAAGACGGCGCCTTGAAACCAGGCTCCGTGTGTGACGCCAGGCTGAGATGCATGACCAAGGACAGTGAGGCGGAAACTTGGAGCGTTTTAGAACTTCGGAGGGTCGGACGTGCCCGGCAGGTGTTTGTTATCGCTTGATCGCCACTGACCTGAAACCTGAATGGTGCCTGCTTGTGTGTCGAAATAAATCCACCCACAGCGTAGCCTGCGTGGGGGATGCGAGCGTTGTTGCCGCGGCTGATCGCGCGCCCTTCGTTCGCCAGACAACGGCTGCGTGAGCCTGTGCGTGGAGAACATGCGCTCGGCAGAGGACATGCCGCCGCTGGAGATGGTCGAGATGTTCGTCAGCCTCTTCTGCTTCCTGAAAGACTCGGCCGACGTGTCGGAGGTGCTGCTGGCCGACCTCCGCTCCAGCCAGGGCTACATCTTTCTCGCCGAGTTCCTGCTGAGGTGGGTCGTTGTGGTGGGCCCTGTGCCCGGCCACCGCGCGCTCTGGGCGGTGTCGCTGGGGCTGGCCGGCGACGCAAGCTAATCTGTGCGTTACGTGGTGTGAGCAATCATAGAGAGGGCTACGTGAGAAAGACGTGCCGATGTTTTGATACGTGAGACGGTGAGACGTTGTACGTTGAGTTGGAATATTGTAGGTAAATGGAACCGTTCACGTGATGCATGCGTTTGAAATACGTGCGTGTAAACTGCGTGTGTCAAACCACGTAACATGGCGACCATGAGACTAGATTTGATCACGTTGATAGTTGAGCGCAGAAAACGCCAGACTAGCATACCCCGTTGCTTGGAGATACCTGACGGTGCGGGTCAAGTGGGTCAGGTCAGTTGAGGTCAGGCGGGTCGGGCTTGCTGAGATCAAGTGGGCCAGGTCAGCTGAGATCAGACAGATCAGGCCAGCTGGTCAGGCAGGTTAGGTCAGCCGAGGTCAGGCAGGTCAGGCCATCTGTGGTCAGACAAGTAAGGTCAGCTGAAGTCAGGCAGGTCAGGTCAGCTGAGGTCAGGCAGGCCAGGTCAACTGAGGTCAGGCAGGTCAGGTCAGTTGAGGTCAGGTGGGTCAGGTTAGCTGAGGTCAGGTGGGTCAGGTCATCTGAGGTCAGGCAGGTTAGGTCAGTTGAGGTCAGGTGGGTCAGGTCAGCTGAGGTCAGGTGGGTCAGGTCGGCTGAGGTCAGGTGGATCATGTCAGCTGAGGTCAGGTGGGTTAGATCACCTTAGGTCAGGTCAGCTGAGGTCAGGCAGGTCAGGTCGACTGAGGTCAGGCAGGTCAGGTCAGTGGAGGTCAGGTGGGTCAAGTCACCTGAGGTCAGGCGGGTCAGGAAGCACAGGTGCGGCGCCACCCAGCGCAGCAGAGCCCTGATCTTGACCGTCACCGAGCGTCTGCACCCTCCAGGTTGGAGCAGGACGGCCGGCCGGAGTCGGCGGACGCGGCGCGTAACCTGGTGCTGCTGATCGCCTCGCTGGCCATGTGCGGACACACCGAGCTGCAGCCGTCGCAGGCGGCCGCTGGCACGCCCTTCAAGCTATCCGGCTTCGCGGTGCCGCAGCCGTCCGGACTCGGTGAGCGACGCGCCGCTGGTCCGTCCCGTTCCGTCCCGTCCCGTCCCGTTCCGTTTCGTTCCGTTCCGTTCCGTCCCGTTCCGTTCCGTTCCGTTCCGTTCCGTCCCGTTCCGTTCCGTCCCGTTCCGTTCCGTCCAGTTCCGTTCCGTCCCATTCCGTTCCGTTCCGTTCCGTCCCGTCCCGTCCCATTCCGTTCCGTTCCGTCCCATTCCGTTCCATTCCGTCCCGTCCCGTCCCGTCCCGTCCCGTCCCGTCCCGTCCCGTCCCGTCCCGTCCCGTCCCGTCCCGTCCCGTCCCGTCCCGTTCCGTTCCCCGTCCCGTCCTGTCCCGTTCCCCGTTCCGTTCCGTTCCGTTCCGTCCCGTTCCGTCCCGTTCCGTCCCGTTCCGTCCCGTTCCGTCCCGTTCCGTCCCGTTCCGTCCCGTTCCGTCCCGTTCCGTCCCGTTCCGTCCCGTTCCGTTCCGTTCCGTCCCGTTCCGTTCCGTTCCGTTCCGTCCCGTCCCGTCCCGTCCCGTCCCGTCCCGTTCCGTTCCGTTCCGTTCAGTTCCGTCCCGTTCCGTCCAGCCCAGCCCCTGCACCCGCCCCGCCCCGCCGACCCGTGTACGCTCCTCTGGAGACCTCCGGGCGCACTAGAAACATAAACATCGGGAGTCTTGGTGGCTGGACCCAAATGTTCCACAATTCTTGGCGAAGAATATTGCCAAGCTGCAAAGCGAGCAGAAGTTCTGGCCTGCCAAACTTGGAATAGCGGAGTACAAACAACAGCCTTACAAACATCCACATGCCTTTAAAACTTCGACATCCTACGTTTCGTTGAGAACAAAATAACACAAAGTCATAATTTTTGCAGAAAATGATATGGCACAGATACTGTTGGATGCTGCATAGGGCGCCACGTGCTCTCGCTTGCGATGCCTCAGCGGTTCAGCGCCATTCACCGCCCCCCCCCCCCCCCCCCCCCCCTCCCCCACCGTCCACAGGCACTAGCGTGCGGAATGTGAACGCCTTCCAAGTGCTGCAGACGGTGTTCTTGCGGGCCAGCTCGGGCACGCTGTGCTGCGTCATTCTGGACACCATCTCCAGGTGAGAAATGAGGTCTCCAGATGGGAGGTGAGGTCTCCAGATGATAGATCAGATCTCCACGTGAGAGATCAGATCCTCAGGCAAGAGATGATATCTGCAGATGAGGGGCCGGATCTCCGGATGAGAGATCAGATCTCAGATGAGAGATCAGATCTCACATGAGAGATCATATCTCCAGATAAGAGATGAGAACTCCAGATGGGAGATGAGATCTTCAGGTAAGAGATAAGAGGTCTCCAGGTTCGGGCCCAGCCAGTGCCGTGGTCGGCCCCGCAGTCGAGGGCATTGTTCAGTCACAGACAAGGGGATTCCTGGGGGGGGGGGGGGGGGAGGGGTCAGAGGAACCAGCTGTGCTGCTCACAGGAGATTGTGTGTTTTCATGCTTCAGTCTATGATGTAGACTGTAATTCGTCTTGATTTTCAAACGTATTCCTGTTATGTTTTTGGGATGCTAGTGCTTCCCGCCTTTGACTAGCTGTCTAAACGATTATTTTGTCCTATTTTCATTATATATCCTGATACTCATTCTCCCTGTCTTTGCTTGTGTGACTGATGTTTCGCCTGTCCACGGCTCCTTTGTGTCCCGACCACTCTACCAGCGACGTCTGCCCATGGGGCTACCAACCGCGTCTGACACCGGTCTGTGGCTGCCGGCTGCGTCTGACGCCCGTCTGTAGCTGCCGGCTGTCTGACACCCGTCTGTGGCTGTCGGCTGTGCCTAATGCCCGTCTGTCGCTGTCGACTGTGTCTGACACCCGTCTGTGGCTGCCGGCTGCGTCTGAAACCGATCTGTGGCTGCCGGCTGCGTCTCACATCCGTCGGTGGCTGTCGGCTGCGTTTTTACACGGGTCTTTGGCTACCGGCCGCGTCTGACGCCCGTCTGTGGCAGCCGGCTGCGTCTGGCACCCGTCTGTCGCTGTCGACTGTGTCTGACACCCGTCTTTAGCTGCCGGCTGCGTCTGGCGCCCGTCCGTGGCTGCCGGCTGCGTCTAAGGCCCGTCTGTCGCCGTTGACTGTGTCTGACACCCGTCTTTGGCTGTCGACTGTGTCTGACACCCGTCTTTGGCTGCCGGCTGCGTCTGACGCCCTTCTGTGGCTGCCGGCCGCGTCTGACACCCGTTTGTGGCTGCCGGCTACGTCTGACGCCGCTCTGGGGTCGTTGCAGCGTGTACCACGCCGACTGTGCCAACTACTTTATCTTGGAGAGCCAGCACACCATCTCACAGTTCGCCGAGAAAATCCACCAGAAACCCAAGGAGGCGCAGGCATGTCCAAGTCCCAGGCGTAGCAAAAAAAAAGAGGCTCGCAAGGGCCGTGTTGTGGCGTTAAGTCTGTCAGTTGGCGTTTGATGCCTTGGTGACGACTAGGTTGCATCTTAAATTAGTTGCTGGTTTACTGTAGTGTAATGGTTGTTGGCTTTACTGTAGTGCAATGGTTGTTGGCTTGAAATGAGTTGTATGCTCCCAGGTGCTTTAAAACGCGTCTTAGATGCTCTTCACTGTCCATGTTTGAATTAACATATTACTGAATGCATATGATAGTAACGTTCGACCGTTTTTGTGCTCTTAATGCCCCAACTCCGTAGTATTTAATATATTTCGACGTAATTTCATCTCATGCTTAAATTGCCAGACTCGTATGAGACCCTTGACAAATTCTTCCAAGATGTGGTTATTCCAGCTTCCCCCATTATAAGACATGGGCTTGCGCTTCCTCAGGACAAGTTCTTCCAGCTGCTGGAGTTCGTGGTGTTCCAGCTGAACTATGTGCCGGTCAAGGAGCTGATCTCCTGCAGTATCCTGCTGAAGTCGCACGTGTCGCTGCCCTGCAGCCAGCGCTGCGTCGAGTCGTTGCTCTCCATACTCAGGTAACAGCTGCAGCACCAGGGGAGAATAATGGTCCAGTAATATGCGAGGACAGGTCCAGCACCCAACGCTGGAGGAGACATGCTCTTAATATCACGTCATTTCCCGTACACTAAGCTGATGTGTGCAAAGGATACCAGATTTCTAGCTGTGGGTCGCGCCCCTACCTCGTTACCTCCTCCTCCTCCTCCTGACGAGACCACGCTCGGCGGTGCGTGGACAAGTCGTCAGCCGGTCGTAATCCACGGGTGCGGGGCCCGGCCCAGTCTCCGCTGAGGCAGCCGCTGCAGACCCGCGGCCAGGGAGCGGGCGGGCGAGGCGGCTGGGGTGCACCGCGACCTCCCGCCGCCGTCCGTGGGCCGGCCAGCTCCGGCGGTGGTCCGGGCTGGGTGGGCCGTCCGCGGTCGTGACCCCGGCCGTCGCCGGCGGGTGCTCGGCGCGACCGATGGCGTTGCACGTGCCATCGGCCCGCCATCGCTCTGGTGGTGTTCAGTGTGCGCGCGATGGGGTCATGGTAGCCTGGCCGCCCACACTAGGGGCCTGTGAGTCCGGTTAGCTGCCGCCATGGCGGCTGGTCGATCTAAACTTTGGACCCGCAGTGCTCTTGGGTGTGAAACGCAGTCAGTAATGTACCAGTGTCTCATCCATGATGATCCCACGCAGTGCCGGGTCACCGCCTAAGTGTTATGCCCTGCAGCGAACAGCCCTCGAGGCTTCTCATCCTGTTCGGATAGGATCTGGGTCAGATGCCGCTAGAGAGCAGCCCTCGAGACCGCTCATCGTATTCGGACGAGGTCTGGGTCAGATACCGCTAGAGAGTAGTCCCCGAGACCGCTCATCCTGTTCGGGCAAGCTCTGGGTCAGATACCGCCAGAGAGTAGTCCCCGAGACCCCTCATCCTGTTCGGACGAACTCTGGGTCAGATACCGCCAGAGAGTAGTCCTCGAGACCCCTCATCCTGTTCGGACGAGCTCCAGGTCAGGTACCGCCCAGTCCACTTTGTGCACAGCTCTTGGATCTCCGCGTAGTGTGTTGACGGATTCGTGCTTCTCATTATTCTGATGCACATCTCAGCTTGGTCACTCACGTGGCGCACGAAGACACAATGATCGGAACTCGAATATATTGATACGAGTGATCGCATTTCCGTCTGGCGGACCCGCGAACGCCTTATTAAATGCTCGCATAAGACCGATTTCATGTTAAAGTGCTGGTAGCCGCCGAGCTATCGATCACGTCATTACAGCAATCACGGCTCAACAAACAAACCGGCGCGGAATAATGAGCACGCGGGTCGAGTCAAGTCCTTCCGCTGAAGCGCTGCTCAGGCCTTGCTTCAGGCCGCCTGTTGACCTGTGTGACCTTTGAACTGTATAACCTTTGACCTGTGTGACCTTTGAGCCGTGTGACCTTTGACTTGTGTGACCTTTGACTTGTGATATTTGACCTGTGTAGCATTTGACCCATGTGATATTTGATCTGTACCGTTGATCTGTGTAACCTCTGCGACCTTTGACCCATGTGACCTACGCGATCTTTGACCCACGTGACCTTTGACCAGTGTAACCTTGTGCGACCTTTGAACTTTGTAACGTTCGACATGTGTGACATTTGACTTTGTAACCTTTTGACTTGTGTAACATTTGGCCTCTGATATTTGATCTGTGTGACCTTTGACCTGTGCGACCTTTGACCTATGCGATCTTTGACCCATGTGACCTGAACGGCAGGTTCAGCCCGCTGTTCAAGGACGTGTTCCGAGAGGTGGGCATCCTGGAGGTGTTCGTGCAGTGTCTGGCGCGCTACGCCGACCTGCTCAAGTCGCAGCAGCAGACCGAGGAGGACGGAGACGGTGAGGAGGAGGCGGCTGTGCGGATGCTGGCGGATGGGGGGGGGAGGGGGAGCAAGAGGATGGGGACAAGCGGAGCGGGCGAAGGAGGAAGATGACAATGGGGGAGGAGGAAAATGAGGGCGTGGCAAGACAGCTGGACGGAAATGGGAGTAATGAACGGATAAGGGAACGATGCAAGGACATGTGGCCAGATGACCGTGTTGGGGCTTTTTTCATCCAGGGCGTACTCCTGTCATTCACACTATTACATGCTGTTACATGCTGACATTCTCGGCGTACGTTTGACTGCCCCCTCCCCTCCCCCCTCCCCCACGACCACGGTCTCCCCCGCGTGCACCTCGTATCTCTACACCTCTCCTTGTCTCGCTGTGCACTGTTGACCGTCGTCATATCCCCACGGCGTTCTCACCGTCGCTGCGTCTCCCCGGTGTACCGCCGGTCATCGCTCCCGTCTTCCCGATGCACCGCTGACGGCCGCTGCCCCGTCTCCCCGGCGTACCGCTGACGGCCTCCGCCCCGTCTCCCCGGTGTACCGCTGGCAGCCACCGCCCCGTCTCCTCGGTGTAGCGCTGACGGCGGCCGCCCCGTCTCCCCGGTGTGCCGCTGACGGCCGCTGCCCCGTCTCCCCGGCGTACCGCTGACGGCCTCCGCCCCGTCTTCCCGGTATGCCACTGACGGCCCCCGCCCTGTCTCGCCAGTGTATGATCTACCTGAGCCGCAGTCGGCACTGGGCCGCCGCGTCATGGAGACCGTCTCGGTGCTGCTGGCCGGCAGCGCCGCCAACGCCGCCGTCTTCCGCGAGTCCGGCGGCTCCCAGCGCGTCCACGAGATGATCGTGTACCCGGACTGTTCCCAGCTGGCGCTCGGTACGTGCTCGGACCAGAGGCACGGGGCACCGAGGTGGGGGGCGTCATGTGATGGTTCACCCCAACCGCTCTGGCTTTGGGTATTGACTGGTATGGGTAAGCGGGGCTTCTCTTTTGCAGCTGAGTTTGTGTACCCGTTTACAGGCTGTGTCGGGTGCTTTCCGTCGTGTGATAAGGGGAGCTATTGCGCGTTTAGGCCGCCCAACAGACCCGCCTTATACGGCACGCAGTGATTGGGGCATACGCTGAAGCCGTTACGAACAGACAGTTTTCCAGTCAGGAGTGAATGGGGCTTTCAAGACGCACATTTCGTGGAATGTTTTTCAACCATTGGCGCCGTGCATTAGATGTATGACGGGTTTCGCCCGCGCTTGCCCCACCACGTGACCGGGGACCACGTGCTGGGGCGCGTCCGTCGGCAGGCATTCTGCAGCAGCTGATGCTGTGCGCGGGCGGCGAGGACGAGATGGGCACGGTGCTCGCCTTCATGAACAACGCCCCGTTCAGCCAGATCGGTCTCAAGATCGACATACTGAAGGTGATCCCGGTGGTGCGGCCGGGCAGGCGCCGCCGGCCGACGCCGGCGCCGCCGCTGTAGACGGCGTTGGAGCTGAAGTTGGATGTGGATATTGGACTGGAGTGGTGCAGTGTCTGCTGTCGGGTCAGAGCGATTCGAGCCTTCGCGCTGTCAGTTTTCGTATGATGTAGGCGACTCGCAGGTCACTCCGGTAGAATGTTATGCTCGTGATCGGTGGCTGGTGCCCGCCGTCGGTGATTGTTGACTGGCTGACTGGTGCCCGCCGTCGGTGGTCGGTGACTGGTACCCGCCGTCGGTGATCGGTGACTGGTGCCCGCCGTCGGTGTTCGGTGACTGGTGCCCGCCGTCGGTGATCGGTGACTGGTGCCCGCCGTCGGCCTGAGCGCCGGAGCAGGCGACCTCTTCTCCTCCTCCGTCAGACGAAAAACATTGCCACGGGCATACAGCATCGCGTCGCACAACTCTGTTGATATCCCTCTGTGTTATCTGTTGATGTGCTGGTGCACGCATATCGTCCGGTTCAGATCGACCGCTGGGCTGGGGCCAATGTCAGGGTCGGCACAACAAGCCGTCGTTAACCAGAGCTCAGATCCCAGCGCCTTTGAAGCGAACGCTGCGGTCGACCACGTGCAGTATTGGTACTGCGCTCGTTGACGAGGTGTGGTCCGGAGCCGAGGCCGCGTGCGGTGTCGGCGCGCGACGCTGACGCCCTCGGGCCGTGCCGACAGTCGCTGCTCGGCTGCCTGCGCGACTCGCACCGCACGCGCACCATGTTCCGCAAGGTGGGCGGCTTCGTGTACGTCATGTCGGTGCTGGTGTCGCTGGAGGGCTGCATGAGCGAGGTGCCGGCGCCGCCCTGGGACGGTACGTCCGCCTGCCGGCCGCGCCCCAGCCGGCCACGGCTGGCTCGTCACGCTCCTGACCCTAGCGACGTGAATGACTGCGGTCTATGGGACGTTGGTGCCGTGGTAACGGAGACGGCTGGTGATGCGCGGATGTGGGTAGAGCTGCCCTGTAGTGCCATGCTACGTCAGGGAGGGTATCGCCGGTGTTGGCGGCAGTACAGCTTCAGTTTATTGTTCGGCTACTTTTAATCAATTTTTTGACAAGTTGCATGTTCATGAAGTCGGACAACGCATATATGTCAACTATTAAGCTTTGGGAGTTGTCAGTGTCGGTGTGCCGACCGCGCCGGCCAGGGCCTGGCGTTTCTCTGACGCCCTCTCTGTGCCGCCCCTCAGCCATCCCTCGGCAGACCATGCTCTCGCTGGTCCACCTAGCGTTCAACACGCTCACCGTGGCCATGCGCTACGAGCCGGCCAACGCCAAGTTCTTCCAGCTGGAGGTGGGTTCGAGACCGCTCGCGGCCAGAGATTTTGCAGTTATCGTTTTGTGGCACTGAAGCCGATGTCGGTGCTGGTGGCGGTTTCAATATACAGCCAACGCATGGCTTGGTCGATTGGGCGTTGTGGGCGTGCGTATGGTGGCTATGACGTTCACATGCAGTGTTAGTTGTGTTAGTATGCTTTTAACAATCTTTGGATTGTTGTGGGCATGGCTTGAAACGTGATCTTCCGCAGGTGCCAGCCAAAATTAGTATGTATTAGGCACCAAATGTCCGGGGCATTCTGCGCACCCCAAAGCCCGAGTCATCATCAAAAGCAGCACGCATCTCACCTGACGCGCTTCGCGACATTGACACGTGACGTTACGTCATGTCACGTGACCCCCTATCCGGCGTGCCGTCTGGCACCGCGCCAGCTGACCTCTGACCCGGGCCGCGCCGTCGCCGGCAGATCTGCGGCACCAGCCTGCTGGACACGGCGCGGCTGCTGGGCTGCTTCGGCGACGCCGCTCAGCTGGGGCCGATCGAGTTCGAGTACCAGCACACCGAGGAGCACACCTTCCAGGGCATCTTCACGTCGGACGTGACGGCCGCCAGGTGGGTGAGCCGGGCGGACGGCGGACGGCGCCGCGCGCCAGCTGGGAGGTCTGCTCCAGTGGCGCCGCCGGTGGGCCGCCCGCCGGCAGCGGAGGCCGGCCCGGGCCGTTGGAACTGCGCTCGCCGGTGTGCCATGGGTCAGATGCTGACGTCGTGGCGTGACCTGTTTGCATCCCAGTTGCTGTAGGTCATCGAGTGGGCGCGTTATGACCGGGGCAGTCGGCGCGGCAAAGGTCGAAGTCATCGCGATCATCATCACGTAGTTTACGAAGTAAGGATGAAGCTGTGAGGGCCTGCGAGCAGTACAGCCCGCACCAAGGGCGATCCACGTCAGGCGCAAAACTGAGACAGCAACCGGCGTGCCTATCAGGTGTGATGGATGGTTGGCACGGACTGGTGCCGCGAGCAGGCCCCCGTTCCGGGAGCTCCTGTCGGTTCGAGCCCGCCGCCGCCCACCCGACTAACGGCCCCCGTGGCGGCGGCGCCCGCAGCCTCCCGCCGAACGTGCCGGCCAGCCTGAGCTACGCCTGCATCGTGCTGCGCCTGCTGTACGACATGGCGCTGGACAGCTTCGACAAGCCGGGCATGGCGGCCGGCGTGGCGGCCGGCAGCGCGCGCCGACAGCAGGAGGCGCGGGTGAGGGCCGGCCCCGCGAGGCGGCGCGGGCGGCCGCGCTGAGCGGCGGGCGGGGCGTGTGCTGTGGTCGCCGTGTGTGCTGTATCAGTACTCGGGGAGGATACGGATCTAGCGCGGTGCGCGCGGCGAGCGGCTGCTGACTGGGCGACGCGGCAGGACCGTCAGGCATGCTGTGTGGTCTGCAGGTGACGCGGCAGGGCTGTCAGGCGTGCTGTGTGGTCTGCAGGTGGGGCAGGGCGTTGGAGAGCCTGCTGAGATCATGGGGTTGGAGAGCCTGCTGAGATCATGGGGTTGGAGAGCCTGCTGAGATCATGGGGTTGGAGTGTGGCTGCTCAGGGCGGTGTGTCCGATGTGCTCGTTAAGCTGACAGTGTGCTCAGACCGCGACCAACTCGTGATGGGTGATGTTTATGCGCGTGCTGTATGGCGGGTCGCAGCCAGGAGTTAGACCGTCAGGGACGTTCCGTCTATTGGAGGTCCCCTCTGAGCCCCCCCCCCCTCCCCCCTCCCCGCCGATGTGTTGTAACGCGCTGTTCGACCAAGAAACATGTACAAACACGTCGTCAACCGCTGCATGCCGTCAATCGGGCGCGAGCTGCCTGTGCGCCCCACCCTGACGTGGGGTGCACAGACAGCTCCGAGGACGCTGAAGGGCGGCCGGACAGGTGATGAAGTGAGGAGTTGGAAGACGGTCTAACACCGGCGGTGATGCGTGATCCGGGGTCGGGCTGTGCGAGCCGTTGGGGCATGGAGACGGCAGGAGGCGTGACACGGTCAGCGCCCATGTGCGGCCGGGAGGCTGGGAGGCGGGAGGCTGCGCTGGCGGTGGGTTGCCGCGCCGCGAGCGCTGTCTGACGCCCGGCGCGCGCCCCTGCGTCCAGGAGTCGGCCGGGCAGAAGCGGACGCCGGCTGGCCTGAACCTGTCGCCGCCGCCGCCGGAGCCGATGGTGGTCCACGCCGGCGTGGTGGTCGAGATGCTGCACCTGCTGCCGGCCGTCCACCACCCCACCGAGCAGCAGGTGTGGACCCTCGCTGGAGGGGGCGTACGCAACAGCTGGGAGGCTTTGGCGGGGAGGCATGCTCACGGGCACCGGGCGTGGGGCGCTGCCGGAGGGGCGGACTTGGACGCCGCTGAGTTTGTCCTTCCGCCCGCCAGATGGCCGCAACGCTGCAGGTGTACCTGGCCGAGATCCTCAAGTCTCTGATGCGGTCAGAGCGGAACCAGCAGGTCATGTGTGACGCAGGTGGGTCAGTGGGTGTGACGCAGGTGGGTCAGCGGGTGTGACGCAGGTGGGTCAGTGGGTGTGACGCAGGTGGGTTAGTGGGTGTAGCGCAGGAGTGGGTGTGACGCAGGTGGGCCAGTGAGTGTGACGCAGGTGGGCCAGTGAGTGTGACGCAGGTGGGTCAGTGGGTGTGACGCAGGTGGGTCAGTGGGTGTGACGCAGGTGGGTCAGTGGGTGTGACGCAGGTGGGTCAGTGGGTGTGACGCAGGTGGGTCAGTGGGTGTGACGCAGGTGGGTCAGTGGGTGTGACGAAGGTGGGCCAGTGGGTGTGGCGCAGGTGGGTCAGTGGGTGTGACGCGGGTGGGTCAGTGGGTGTGACGAAGGTGGGCCAGTGGGTGTGACGCAGGTGGGTCAGTGGGTGTGACGCAGGTGGGTCAGTGGGTGTGACGCAGGTGGGCTAGTGGGTGTGACGCAGATGGGTCAGTGGGTGTGACGCAGGTGGGTCCGTGGGTGTGACGCAGGTGGGTCAGTGGGTGTGACGCAGGTGGGTCAGTGGGTGTGACGGTGGCGAGTCATTGTTCTTGGCAGATGCGAGGTCAATTTCGGTGTCACTGCCGAGCCAGTGTGTTTGATATGAAGAATACTTCATTCCATCTAATCGCGCGAATGTCGGTACCTTGAATCGCATTTTTTCTGGGTGCTGCTTAAAGTAGCGGTTGCCATGTTAGCTCATCATGAGTGGAGTGATCCGCTTATTATCATGCATCACCAATCGGGCCATATTTTGGTGCCAATTTAGTTCGGCTGTGGCCGGGGAATGACCGCCAGGTGTGTGGTGGCGTAGGTGAGGTGATCGGTCCGTCCCGCTCCGGGGTCCTTGTGCCGCCGCGCTTGCTGTCTGGCCCGTCCCGCTCCGGTGGCCTTGTGTCGCCGCGCGTGCTGTCTGACCCGTCCCGCTCCGGTGGGCCACCGCGCGTGCTGTCTGACCCGTCCCGCTCCGGTGGCCTTGTGTCGCCGCGCGTGCTGTCTGACCCGTCCCGCTCCGGTGGCCTTGTGTCGCCGCGCGTGCTGTCTGACCCGTCCCGCTCCGGTGTCCTTGTGTCACCGCGCGGACCAAGCCCGGCCGCGGTGTGTTCGACGGAGCGTCTTCTGGTCTGCTGGTCTGCTGTGCTGCTGTGCTGCTGTGCAGACGCCGTGCAGATGCTGTGCTTACGGTGCGCGCGCCGGACGGGACAGGCTTTCCCAGCGAGCTGCTCGCCACCTTGTCGGCTGGCGCTGGAAGACGAGACGCACCTGCTGCACCCGGCCATCCAGTACATGCTGGAGCGGCTGGCCGCCCAGACGCTAGAGCCGCGTGACCTGAGGTCAGTTTCGGCCTCACGCGGCCGTCACGCTTCTGCTGTCATGCGTGACGTGACGCTGGTCATACTGACATGTACGCTGGTCATGCGTGACGCAGTGTACGTGTTTGAGTGCGGCGGCGTAGGCCACAGGTCACGGTGTGCGCATGTGAAGCGGCGCAGCCTCACTGAGCCCCTCGGTCGCGCACGGAGCCGCCGCTCGGCGCCGACGCGCGCGCCGACTCGGGCCGGCGACGGGCTGTGACCGGGCCGGCGTGGGTGGCCGCAGGTCGTTCCTGCGGCTGGGCAGTCCGCTGATGGTGGCGCCGCCGGACCGACCGGCGCCTCCGCTCGCCGGCCGGCCCGTCTCGCTGACGCGCGTCAAGACGCTCGTTTCCATGACGACGCCTCGCGACTGCCGACACGGAGGTGGGTGTGGCCTGGCGCAGGTGGTGCTGCGCGCTGGAACGTGTGCGGCTTCGTGCGGGGAAGGGACAGATGACTGGGAGACGAGTGTGCGGTGCGATGTTGGCGGATCACGTGAAAATTGCTGCATGGCGGTTTGATTTTAACCTAATGCTAATAACGTAAGTTGTGTTGTGATGGAGGCGGTGGACTTTGGTTCATGGTCTGCAAGCGTAGTGGTTGGTCCGTAACAGTAGGTGTAAGGGGGAACGACGGTGTGCGTGGGGCTTGCCGGCATAAAGCCAACGAGCTCGTGTGATAATCCAGGAAAAAACCCGCTGCTGGCCATTGAAACAACAAATCCGCGGCTGAGTGTCACGTGAGATCGGCGGCTGCGGCGGCGGCGCGATACTGCAGTTGGCCGGCGCGCCGATAGGTGTCTCTGTCGCCAGGCGCCGCCATCCTGCCGCCGTTCGTCGAGTTCGACATGTCGGTGGAGGGATTCGGCTGCCTGTTCCTGCCGTCGCTGGCGCCCCAATGCCTGAACGTTGGCGATACGTCCGTGTTGGGTGAGCGACGCCTGCCCCAGGCTCAGTGTGAGGTGGTCCTCATCACGTTTGACGTAATCAAACGATGACGTATGAAGGAACATGCGTACTAAGTAGTGAAATTGTTTTGTCTTGAGTGGTCTTATACACTAATAAGCAGATCAATAAGTAAAAGTCAGCTCATTTCATGACATCTGATGCCTGCCTCAAGATCTTCAAGTGTGCAGTATGGTCTTAAATGGTTTGGTCAGTCTGTTGCCCTACCGGAGGGGTAAGGTTCTTCATTCGTCAGGTGGCATTGGCACCGGTGACCGCGTCTTCCCGCCGGCCACCGGTCTCACCTACTCGACGTGGTTCAACGTGGAGCGGTACTCCAACTCGCGCTCGGACCCGCACTGTGTTCGGCTGCTCACGCTCGTGAGTTATGGACGGCTACTGGGTCGTGAGCAGAGCAGTGTTGTGGACGGCTGCTGGGTCGTGAGCGGGGCAGGTTTATAGACGGCTGCTGGGGCATGAGCTGAACGGGGTTATGAACGGCTACTGGGACATGAGCGGGGCGGTGTTATGGACGGTTCTGAGCCGTGAGCGGAGCGGGGTTATGGATGGCTACTGGGCCTTGAGCGGGGCCACGTGTGATGGCACGGGTTTGTCGCATGGAAGACGTGACTGTTTAGCGCAAAGTGGTGATAACGTTGGCATTTGCTGGAGAAAATGTCCATTGCATTCTAGCCTTTTGCCATTTGTTATTAGAGGATTTCTCAACTCATCCCCATTTTCGCTGCTGGCCAGAAGGCTGTTCTTTCCTCATACCACTGCGGGAAACTAACTCAGGCCTAAGGTATGTCACACTTAGGATGTTCATGTGACAGCTTGCAGACCCCAACCATGCCACTGCCCTCTCTTTGCATAAGTTTCATACCTGCCCCTGTGATTTTATTGGTCCGTGGGCCCTCTATCCGACCAGTCCCATTCCCTGACGATGATTGGTTGTCAGACTCACGCCCGCCGCTGAGGATTCCGCCGCTCCGCGTTGATTGGCCGCTGCTTTCAGGTGCGTCACCCTCACGGCCGCGACCAGCACCTGATCTGCCTGACTGTAGTGCTGTCGGCCCGAGACAAGGCGCTAATCATCTCCACACGCGAGACCGAGATGCCGCACCACGGTAACGCCGCTGGGACCCCGTCGCGCGCTCCCGTCCCCCGCCCCGCAGGCGCCGCCGCCGGACCGGCGCCAGCGGCTCCCTCCTGTTGTTGGCTCCGTAGACGTGTGCCCGGTGCTGTGCCGTTGTTGAGCGCCGGCGGTCTTGTGGCTGTCGCCGACCGGACGCTGGCCTCAGAGGATCTGCCGTTGCGCCATGTGAAGACCGCCGTCGGGACGGCGCCGACAGCCGCCGCCGGTGCTGGGGGTGTCTCTGACCGTTGGGCGCGGCTCTGACCGCTGGGCGTGTCTCTGACCGCTGGGGGTGTCTCTGACCGCTGGGCGCGGCTCTGACCGCTGGGCGTGTCTCTGACCGCTGGGGGTGTCTCTGACCGTTGGGCGCGGCTCTGACCGCTGGGCGTGTTTCTGACCGCTGGGCGTGGCTCTGACCGCTGGGCGTGTTTCTGACCACTGGGCGCGGCTCCGACCGCTGGGCGCGGCTCTGACCGCTGGGCGTGTCTTTGACCGCTGGTGGTGTCTCTGACCGCTGGGCGCGGCTCTGACCGCTGGGCGCGCGTGCTGCCCGGCAGGCGCCTACGACTGGGAGCCCGAGTGTCGCGGCGACGCCAGCCTGCGCGTCTGGTGTCCCGACCTGCTGGAGGAGAACCAGTGGCACCACCTGCTGGTCACGCTGAACCGGGCCGTGCTGAAACACTCGGCCTGCGCCGTCTACATCGACGGCAAACAGGTGGCCAACCAAAAGGTGAGTCGTCGCCCGGGATGGTTGGGGAGCGGGAGGGGGTCTGGTCGATTGGCCGCGGGCGGAGAGGCGGGGTGGTGGCCGGGCGAGGGGCGCTGCGGGCCGCCGTTGGGGTCGGGGTACGGAAGCATCCAGCAGGAGGTCAGATCGGACAGTGGTGCTGTGGTGTGTTTGGTTCAGGCCTGGGGGGTGCACAGCGCTAGTCATCCAGTTCTAGCCTGCTCCAGCCCCAGCCTAATAGGCTGGGGCTATTGCCGTCAGGCAGGCAACAGCCAGCGAACATCGACTGGTTCAGTGAGCAGTAGGTTTTGTTCACGCCTTAGTGCTCCGGGTTTTTGACCGGCTGACGCGAACCAGATATGGTAGCACTCTATGACCGCCATCGCTAAGATCGTGCCCTCCGCTGTCGGCCAGCTGCACTACGTGAGCCAGAACCCGGGCGGCGGCGCGGCGAACCTGACCAATACGTCCTCGGTGTACGGCTTCGTCGGCACCCCGCCGCAGTGGCGGCGACACTCCAGGTGCGGAGCGGGTGCGGACGCGGGCCCGGCGCAGGCCGCCGGCACTTCTCCCCGCGGCGGTGGTGGGCTTGGCTGCCCCGATGCCACTGATGGTGGTGCAGTTGTGCCGGAGCAGCCCGGGGCCGGTCACCGCTGTTAACGTGAGCTGGGCGGGCAGTGTTGTTTGGCTGTTCCCAGAGTGTATGCTTCGAGAGGTGCTACTTCGCATCGAGAACCTGTGTGGTAGGCCGACGGTCATCCACCACATGAACTGTCGCGTGGTCACTGGATTTGCCGAACACCTGCTTACACGTTACCGTGGTATGTGACATGTGACGTCACACGCGGCCCGCCCTGACGTCACACGCGCCCGCCCTGACGTCACACGCGCCCGCCCTGACGTCACACGCGGCCACCGGCCGGCCGCCGCCTCGGCAGGCTGGTGTGGAAGCAGGGCACCTGCCTGATGCTGGAGGAGGCGCTGCCGCCGGCCGTGGTCGGCACGCTCTACCGGCTCGGACCGAACTACCTGGGCACGCTGCAGGCGCCCTTCATCAACGGTACGGCCGCCTCCGTGAAGCCTCCGTGGCACACTCGGCTGGTGTTGTGTGTGATGCCGGCGACCCGTGGGCCGTGTGGCGGCCAGTCGGTGGCTCTCTGCGTGCGTGAGTGCGTGTTTTAGGCGTGTGCATGGCGTGTTCGTCGTTAGCCACCACAGCCTGCTTGGATTTTGTCATTGGGCCGATCTGTGGTGTAGTGTTTGCGAAGACCTCGTCAATGTCATGGGCAGTCCGCGCCGCGTTCTTCATCTTCGATCTCAGTCTTCATTTCGAGCCCGTTGACTTCTGTAACACAATGTGTCACGCAAAAGTCAAACCGGGCTTAGCTTTGCTGTTGCACAGCTGCGGCCCGGCTTCTGTGGTCGCCGATTTCGAAACGACTAGTGCAGCAGTTGGTTTCAGTTCTTTCGGGACACGTGAAGGGCAGCCTCCCCGACCCTCTCCCTCCTTCCTCTAGGGCACTGTAGCCTGGCGGTGGTGCACGAGGAGCGGGTGGTGCTAGGTGTGGCCTCCCTGACCCTCATCCTCCTCCCTCCAATGGACTGCAGCTCTGCGCTGGTGCAGGGGAGCGGGTGGTGCTCGGTCTGACCCCCTGACCCTCGCCCTCCGACCTCCGGGGGACTGCACCTTGGCACTGGTGCACGAGGAGCGGGTGGTGCTGGGTGTGGCCTCCCTGACGCTCTCCCTCCTCCGTGCAGGGGACTGCAGCTCTGCGCTGGTGCAGGAGGAGCGGGTGGTGCTGGGTCTGAACGCCATGGCCACCAGCCAGCTAACGCTGGCCAAGATCCGCAAGGTGTACAGCAAGGCCGACAACCGTAGCATCGCCAAGCAGGTAAACGACTCTCCTGGCTACGTAATGTTGAGCCAGGCACCACCAGAAGGGATCGGAGTGTTTGAAACTCTTCAAAGCCATGTTGGCCGCCGCGAGCCGCCCCCGAGGCCACCGCTGACCCGAGCCCCCCTCGTCTGTGCTGCCGTGAGCCACCGCTGAGCCCGCTGCTGACCCGAGCGTCCCTCGTCTGTGCTGCCGTGAGCCACCGCTGACCCGAGCCTCCCTCGTCTGCTGCCGTGAGCCATCGCTGACCCGAGCGTCCCTCGTCTGTGCTGCCGTGAGCCGCCGCTGACCCGAGCCTCCCTCGTCTGTGCTGCCGTGAGCTTCCACTGAGCCCGCTGCTGACCCGAGCGTCCCTCGTCTGTGCTGCCGTGAGCCGCCGCTGACCCGAGCCTCCCTCGTCTGTGCTGCCGTGAGCTTCCACTGAGCCCGCTGCTGACCCGAGCCTCCCTCGTCTGTGCTGCCGTGAGCTACCACCGATCCCACCGCTGACCCGAGCCCCCTCGTCTGTGCTGCCGTGAGCTACCATCGATCGCGCTGTCGACCCGAACCTCCCTCGTTTGTGCCGTCGCTGAGCTACCACCGATCTCGCCGCTGACCTGAGCCTCCTGCCGCCAGCTGGGCATGTCGTCGCACGAGAACGCCACGCCCATACGGATCCTGCACAACGCCGGCGGTCACCTGAGCGGACCGGCGCGCACGCTCGGGGGCGTGGTGATCGGGTCAGTGGACTGGCCGGCGGTCCGGGGGCCGCGGAAGGGGGGGGGGGGGGGGGGCGGGACTGCCAGACATTCTCTGAGAACCAAACGGGAGCTCTTCTGAGATGCGTGGTGCCGGCTGCCGCCTGTTACCAAGCTAGCTGCGGTATTAGTTGCCGTAGGTGCCTACATAAGCGCGACAATGCGCGAAAAGTTTGAAAATGATGCAGGAAGCTGTAAGAACGCTCCACGAATGACGGCAGGGATGGCCTGGACAGAGAAGCACAGTGGCACGGCACGGACCGGAGGCCATCAAAATGTACCTTTGAGGCGCGTCAATGGCAGTCCCAGAGCTAGAAGGACTATATATCGCATTGTAGCACTTCATTAGCAGCATATTGTCCATAGCAGCGCATTGTATCTACCCATTGCCCACGCAAAATCCGCAGAGATGTCCTAGATAGGCACTCAGTCTTTCCTTCGCTAGAGATAATCTTCAAATTCAAAACAACGCAGGTTGTGAGGCAGGCCCCATAGCGGCCGGCGTCCGGCGTGTTCTGAGTTGCCAATGAGTCACGAATGCCTCCCAATGCAACTGCAGCGCCTTGTAACGGTGGGGTTGCTGAGGACATGCGTAGTTACGATGTTCTGGTCCATTGAAGTAAATGTAAGGCGCGAACGTGTAACGTCCCATCCCACTCCCCTTTTAACTTCTGTTGTTACGTCCCGCTGGTTTCTGTACCCGCCGTCGTTTCTGAGCGTTGTCTCGGCCATGGCGCAGGTACCTGGGCGTGCGGGTGTTCTGCGCGCGGCCCGTGGCGCGTATGGTGGAGAACGTGGGCAGCACGAGCCTGGTGCTGGGCCTGATCGCCATGGCGGCCGACGTGGAGGGCCTTTACGCCGGCGTTAAGGCGCTCACATGTGTAGTCAAGACCAACCGGGCAGGTGAGCGAGCGAGCCGGTCTTGTTAGTGAGCTTTTCCATAATAAAATAGGGATAAATGACCACCGTGTCCAGGCGTCAGTGAAGCAAAGAATTACTTAAAATGGATGTTAAGTGAATGGATGTGGAGGCAGTCAACGTGGAGAAGGCCGGGCAGTCGGCGGCCACCAGATCAAGACGCGCTGACGTCGCTCCACGCGGACTGCTTGAACAGCCGGTGCGCCTGGCCCGAGCTGATTTGTCCGCCGCCGGCCGCCCTCAGTCCAGATGGAGATGGACCGCTGCCACGGCTACCAGCTGCTGGCGATGCTGCTGAAGCAGAAGCGGCCGCTGCTCAACTCGCATATCCTGCACCTGGTGTTCGGCCTGGTGGGCACGGTGGACGCGCGCCGCGAGAGCAGCGGCATACCGAACGTCACCGCCTTCACCGAGCTGCTCTGCGACCTGGCGGTGAGCGGCCGGCCCCGGCCCGGCCTTGGACGAAATGGTCCGGCCTCGTGGCGGTGATCCCGGCGCTGTGGGGGATAACCGGAACCTCGTGGGAGATGACCCGGGCCTTGTGGGGGATGGCCCGGGTGTTGTGGGGGATGTCCTGTGCCTTGTAGTGGGAGGGGGGGGGGGGGGGATCCCGGCCTTGGGCGAGATGATCCCGGCCTTGAGGGGAATGGATCTGGCCTCGTTGGGGATGACCCCGGCCTTGTGGGGGAGGGGGGGGGGACTGTGGGATAGCTGCTGGTTTGGGCTCGGGCTTAGGCTTGGGCAGGTGCAACCAGTGCAACCAATGCAACCAGTTGCGTGCACGCCAAGTTGGAAGCTGGCTGGGAACCGCCTGTGTGGACGTCACTTCGCTGGGTCACGGTTTTGTGCGTGCCTGTTGTCCTGAAGTAGGTAGCTGGTCACTGAAGTAGGCGGCCCGTGCGTTCAGGTACTAGGTGATGACATTTTAGAACCGGCTCGAAAGCTTCGCAGTTGGCATCTTATAGGTCTTTGTAAGCAAGGATCCGAGTTCGAATCGCGCGTATGCCGTAAATTTTCACCGGCCATGAAGCGACATTAGTGCATGTAGGCCTTTGTGTTATCATCGACCATCTGATACGGCGCACAGCTCATGCCGTGCCGCGACATAACCTGACATGACGTGACCTGACGTGACGTGACCTGATCTGACCTGACCGCGCAGATCTGGAACGACGCTCCGGCGGAGCTGAGCCGCTCGCTGTACGAACACCTGCTGGAGCTGGTGACGGACTCGGCGGAGGCGCGCGGCAACCTGACCGTGCTGAGAGACGTCAGCATGACTACAAGGTGAGCCGGGCGGCCTCCGGGGGGTCTGCGGAGGCGCGCCGCCTCCCGGCCGGCCGCTGTCAACGGCCGGGGCAGCGTGGCCGTGTCCAGGGTCGTTCCCGGGCGGCATGTCGGGGGGTTCGGTGGTTTCGTGCGGCGCACTTGGCCTACCCTCGCCACGCCGCCGTATGAGTCGCTGAGCCGCCGCTCGGCTGGTGTCCCCCCCCCCCCCCCCGGACTGACACCGTGTCTGGCCGCCTCTCGGCCGGTGTCGCCCCCCCCCCCCCGACTGACACCGTGTCTGGCCGCCGCTCGGCTGGTGTCGCCCCCCCCCCTCCCGACTGACACCGTGTCTGGCCGTCTCTCGGCTGGTATCCCCCCCCCCGGACTGACACCGTGTCCGGCCGCCTCTCGGCCGGTGTCGCCCCCCTCCCCCCGGACTGACACCCTGTCTGGCCGCCGCTCGGCTGGTGTCCCCTCCCCCCCCCCCCCCGGACTGATACCGTCCGGTGCCGGCTGCGCTGACCGCCGTCTGTGTGTGTCCCCGCCGCCGTCCAGGCTGCTGCAGACGCTGCGGGACTGCCAGCTGCCGCGCAACACGCAGCTGGTGGTGCTGAAGCTGCTCTCCGTGCTGCTGATGAACAGCCCCCGCAAGAGCGACGTCGTCATGTGAGCCATACATGGCGCTGGCGCCGACGCCGGCCGGGACTAACGGCGCTGGTCGGCCTACTGTTTTTGCATTGGAACGCAAGTCATGCCTTTGTGGCATTCTCGCAGTTTGATAGCGCAATTGTTATAGCAGCACCCCCTGTCGTGCCTGTCTCACGCCTCGCTTCGTGCCGGCCCGGCAGCTTCGGCCAGTTCCTGGCCGCCTCGCTGCCGGCGCCGGGCGCGCCGGAGTCGGGTCTGGAGTTGTCGGGCGTGGAGCCGGCCGTGGACCCGGCCGCCGCCGCCGCCCGCCACACCATCCTGCTGCGCAACAAGTGTCTGCGCATCCTGGCCAACGTGGCGGAGCAAGACGCCGTGGCCGACCCGGCCCGGCTCGATGACTGGATGGCGCTCCTCGGCTACGACTGGCTGCTGCTCTTCCTGCAGGTGAGTCGCCGGGGCGCGCTGGACCGGCGCTGCGGATCGAGCCCGGCAGTGGTGCTGGCCGCCTGTCCCTCACAGTGGTGCTGACGGCGCTCTAGTAGTGCTGACCGCCCGTCCCTCACTGTGGTGCTGACGGCGCTCCAGTGGTGCTGACCGCCCGTCCCGTTCCATTGGTGCTGACCGCCCGTCCTGCCCCAGTGGTGCTGACGGCGCTCCAGTGGTGCTGGCCGCCCGTCCCTCACAGTGGTGCTGACGGCGCTCCAGTGGTGCTGGCCGCCCGTCCCTCACAGTGATGCTGACGGCGCTCCAGTGGTGCTGGCCGCCCGTCCCTCACAGTGGTGCTGACGACGCTCCAGTGGTGCTGGCCGCCCGTCCCTCACAGTGGTGCTGACGGCGCACCAGTGGTGCTGGCCGCCCGTCCTGCCCCAGTGGTGCTGACGACGCTCCAGTGGTGCCGACCGACCGTCCCGTCCTATTGGTGCTCACCGCCCGTCCTGCCCCATTGGTGCTGACGACTCTCCAGTGGTGCCGACCGACCGTCCCGTCCCATTGGTGCTGACCGACCGTCCCGTCCCATCGGTGCCGACCGACCGTCCCGTCCCATTGGTGCTGACCGCCCGTCCCGTCCCACTGGTGCCGACCGACCGTCCCGTCCCATTGGTGCTGAGCGCCCGTCCCGTCCCAGTTGAGCTGACGACGCTCGAGTGGTGCTGACCGGTGCGCGACCGGTGGTGCTGACCGCTCGTCCCTCTCAGTAGTGCTGACGACGCGCCAGTGGTGCTGACCGGTGCACGAGCAGTGGTGGTGACCGGTCGCCGCACTGGTGCCGGCCCGCGTTCTGGCGCCGGCGGCTGGTGCGGCGGTGGTGACGGGTGGTGCTCCGCTGCCGCAGGCGCACCTGCACCAGACGACGGTGGTGCTGACGGCGCAGCTGCTGTTCACACTGCTGTGCTCGCCGCCGCTGCTGGCGCGCTTCCGGGACGGGGGCTGCACCGGCGGCTGGCTGCAGCAGACGGAGGGCGTCATCAAGTCGCGGCTGGGCGCTGTGCTGGGTACGTGGCGTCCGCGCCGGAGCGGCCTCACCTGCGCCCGACCGCGTCCGCTGGCGCTCGCCCTCAGACGGCGACACGCACTGCCCGTGTTTGACGGCGCCCGACTGCACCTGCACCCTCACCGGCACCCGCGCCCGCACCGACAGCTACACCCTCACCGGCACCCACACCCCACCGGCACCTACACCCTCACCGGCACCCACACCCGCGCCCGCACCGACAGCTACACACTCACCGGCACCCACACCCGCACTACCACTCACGCCTACAACCACAGCCGCACTCGCACCCGCACCCGCACCCACACTCACACCCACACCCTCACCGGCACCTACACCTTCACCGGCACCTACACCCTCACCGGCACCCATACCCACAACCGCACCCACATCCACACCTACACCTACGCCGGCACCCGCCGGGTATCAAGCTGTCGTTGTGTGTGGCCGTTGTAGTGGCGGCTGTGGGTGCCTCGGTGCTGTGAGCCACGGAGCCGGTGTTGGCCCGGTCTGTGAGTGGACCGCAGAGAGAGGTACGGACCTCCGGAGCCGGGGGTCCGCATCTCTGTCAGACCAGACCTCTCATCGTGGCAGTCAACCGGCGCGCGCGGCCGCTGCCATCTTAATCTGCTGGCTGATGAGGTCTGCTGGCTGCAGACCTCATCAGCAGGATTTCAGCTCTGGGGCGCGATGTGCCCATTGTCGTGCTAGATACTGACTGCCGTTTGTCGTGCTCGCTGGGTTTTCTGTGCCCCCGCCTCCGGGCACAGCGGCGTGTGACGCCGGGCGGCCGTCAGGCTCGGGACGGCACGTGCTCCCGCTCTGTGCGTGCGTGCGTGCGTGTGCGCGTGTGTGTGCGTGTGCGTGTGCGTGCGTGCGTGTGAGCGCGTCACCCGTCGCCTGTGCCACGCGCTGGCTGTGACCGTCCTGCCACGTGGCAGGTTACCACATGGGCGACAGTACGGGCGGCGTGGGCACCAGTGGCAGCGGCGGCGGCGGCGGCGGTGCCGGCGCCGGTGCCGCCCGCCAGGAGGTGCACGACGCCACGCTGCAGATTCCCGGCTTCCAGCAGCTTAACTGGCTGCTGCCCAAGCACACGGAGCTGACCGAGGTCAGCTTCATGCTGCTGCAGCTGCTGCTGGGCCAGCAGGTGCAGGCGCCGCCGCAGCACACGCTGGTGAGCAGAGGGGGCTTGGCCGGTGAGAATGTGGGCTGCGGTGAGAAAGTGGGCCGGGCGGTGGCGGTGGCGATGTTCTGGTGACAGGCTAGACAAGTAGCTTGTTGGAGCAGTGCGGTGCGTGATACGGGAGCCGTGGGAGGCACACCTGGTGACAGGCGTGGTGTTGCGGCCGATGTAGAGGCGGCTGTAGAGAGGAGACGCAGGACCTGCGGCTCGCTCGGCGTCTCTGTAAGAGGAATTGGTCCTCGTGGTGGATACACCGGCCTGAGCTGACCGCAGCGCCACGAGGCCTGCCCGGACTTGACCTGGCCTGAACGGCATTGACCTGCCACCGCCGACAGCTGACCCTGGACACCATCTGGCTGTACATGTGCGGTACTGACCCTCCGTGACCTGCCGCTGCCGACAGCTGACCCTGGACACCATCTGGCTGTACATGTGCGGTACTGACCCTCCGTGACCTGCCACTGCCGACAGCTGACCCTGGACACCATCTGGCTGTACATGTGCGGTATTGACCCTCCGTGACCTGCCGCTGCCGACAGCTGACCCTGGACACCATCTGGCTGTACATGTGCGGTATTGACCCTCCGTGACCTGCCGCTGCCGACAGCTGACCCTGGACACCATCTGGCTGTACGTGTGCGGCATCGACCCGGCGTCCGGCGGTCGGCTGCCGCCCAGGATGACCATCATCCCCGAGGCTCTGATCGGCCTCCTGGAGATGGTGCGCGCGCACCTGAACTACGAGAGGTCCGTGGCTGATGAGGAGGGAGGGTCGGCCGACGGGCTCGGAGGTCGGTCTGGGTGTGAGCGGGTCTGGCGGGCCTCCGTGTGCTGAGATGCCGCCGGCCGGTCGGCGAACATCCCGACTGATTCCAGCTGGGGCCGGTGATCGAGGCCTGTGAAGTATAGTACATGATGACATTGCGACGGTGTAAGTAATTGATGGTGCGTTACTGCCGTGTAATACTAGGTCGCGCTGTGGGGACGCTTTTTATTCCTGCCCATGTGCATCTTCTTTTTCACTAACTGCGATCAGACTCACCTCTGGGACGTTTGATGAATTTGTGGTTGCCATAGTTAATGGCGCACAAAAGCGCCTGAGGGATGCATGGGTGCCATATGACCGTTGCACTCGGTGCGCCCCAAAGCCCAAATCATCATCATCGCAGGGATGCAAAAGCGATCGTCCGGAGGTGCCACTTGCCTGCTGTCCAGCGGCCACCCGCCTCACGTGCGTGCGTGTATTGAGTGTCGCCGCCGCGTGTGACGCGTCGCCGCCGGCGCGCCGACAGCGCGTCGGAGCAGCCGCTGACGATCCTGCAGTTCGTGCTGTACCTGTACCACCACTGTGCCGACATGCGGCCGGTGCTGATGTCGTCGGAGGTGCTGGCCGTGCTGGCCGGCACGCTCTTCCCGTACCGGCCGGGCGCCGAGAGCAGCCCCACCACGCCGCTCGACGACCCGGTGAGGCGGCGCGGCGGAGGGCGGGATAAGGGGGGGGGGGGGGGGGCCCTCGGTGGAACGGCACGCCTGGGCGGGCAGCCAGCACGGCGGGACGGAGCGGATGTTGGAGCAGCGCGTGGCGCGCTCGTAGTGGGCGGTCACACCGCAGCTTAGCTGGGGAAGGGACGGGGACCATGGTACTGCAGTGTCTGGTGGCGTCGCTGCACCGATGGCTGACCAGCTCGTCAGCGCCAGCTCCGGCCGAGCAGCGCCGGCCGCCACCGGGTGCGGGCGTGCTGGCCAGCTCATCTGGACGCGGCACTCGGTCGGCAGGTGTTCAGGCGTCAGTGTCTCCTCTCCGCGCGGTAGGCCCTCCACGGATTAGGATTGCACAGACCCTCAGGTGCCAGGCTATTGCCATGCTCTGCTTCCTCCGCTATACGCCACGTCAGCAAGCCATGATATCCGAGAGCTGTGGCTGAGGCTGGTGGATGAAATGCGAACCACAAGTTCGGCCGCGCGCCGACAGGTGTCTCTGAGTGACGCCGTGCTGGTGAGCGCCGCCTCGGAGGGTGTGCTGACGGCGCACCCGGCCAGTAAGTACGTGCTGGACCTGATCCGGATCGTGGCCGTGGACTCGCTGTCGCTGGCGCCCAGCAAGACCTCGCCGCCGCTCATCGACATCCTGCTGGAGGTGAGTGGCTGCCGCCGTCCGCGCCCACGGGGCCACGGCCGCCAGACGCCGTAGCGGGCGCGGGCCAGCGCTGGCCGGGGTGTTGATGAGGCGTGGTGTGCTGGGTGTGGGTGTGGGCGTGATGTACTGCCGTATTCAGTGCGCGGTTTGCATTTGTGTTGTTTTGTGTTGTATTTGTTGTTTGAGGACTCGTCTCCAGGGGGTGTCGAGTACTGACCGTCGGTGGGAGGATCAGGGCCTGTTTGATTGGCTCCCTACAGGCTAAAGTACTTCTTCCGCACGATGTAATCAAGCCTCTGAGTTCCGCTGTGGTTGTCTCGCTTTGCCACTGCTGCATCGCGATAGCAGATCGGTAAACAAAGCTCCCTATGAGGCAGTCAGGCTACTCAGTGCATTTTCGAACCTCACTTTGTCAAAAAGTGGCCTGTTCGCCGCCCCCTACGACAATTCGATTACTGAACTGCCACAAAAGTTCGAGCCCCGTCCACCGGTCGAGGCGTCGCCCTGTGCCACTAGCCGTCCATAACCGGACGTCCTGCGGCCAGGTCGCCCCTGACAACACGACGCTGGCGCAGCAGATGTCCTTCCAGACGCGCATCCTCTCGCTGCTGATGGACCACCTGACGGCCGCGGACGTGCTGATCGGAGAGCAAGGTACGGGTCGGCGGCGGCGGCGGCGCTCGCGGAGGCGCTCGCGGAGGGCAGGCCACCGCCGCTGGTGGTCGGTCGGACCAGCCGTGCCGCGCCGGGACAGCGTCGCGGGAGAGCTGTGGTGGCGGATGGCGGTTTAGTGTCGGTCGCTGGGCGTTGAAGTGTGCGGCGTTTCGAATGTGAAAGTCACAAGGGGTGCTTCTTTGGTGAGCGTTTGTGGTATGGTCCGAGCGTTGGCGGCTTTTTTGTTGCGCGTAGGTAGTGTTGTGTTGTATGCTGTTGTCACGGTGCATTTCCTGGACCATTCACGAAGAAAACAGGGTGGATGGCGTATTGTTAAAATGCCGAATATGAGTGATAGTAGGCAGACACTTGCAGACATGGCTGCGGGGCTGCCACGCCACGTCGCTCTGACGTCACCTGCCCATGTCTGTCTGACATCACACGGCCGCGTCGGCCTGTGTGACGTCACATGACGTCACGTGTGCCTCCTGCTATGTGCTGCAGCGGCGCTACCCATCTCGCCCGGAGGCAGCGTGCAGCACGTCCCCGGCAACGTGTTCTACTTCGCCGGCCGGCTGGTGGACAAGCTCTGGCAGGGTCAGTCCGCGGCCACGCCCCGCACGGCCGCTCGGCCAATCAGAGCGCGGCGGCGCGGTCAGGCGCCCAATCAGCGCCCGGTCGCTCGCGAGCTGCACCAGAGTCACGGCTGATTGGTTCTGTGTCGGTGCTGTGTCCTGGCACGCTCGGCTGGCGCTCGCTAGGCTTGTCCGGCGTGGACGTGGTGACCGGCAGGTGCAGATACTCACTGATGATACACTGTGGCCGACCCGATGGCTGACGCTCGTGAGATTTGGAGCAGTGCTTGCACGGAATATTCAAGACAGACATTTGGGCAGCAATGTGCTGTCCCGACAGTGTTCTGAGCGCATTACTGAGTGTGTAGCACTGGGTTTTAATGACGCGTCAACTGCATCGGTTATTTGCACTAGGCGCATTATATTGTAATCGAATGAGTTGTAAAAAGCGGTCTATATCGGGAGAAACGTGCTGTCCTGCGATAACAGACCCAGACGTAGTCCGCGAATTTAGATGCAGGCAAGCCAGCTCAGGTCCTTCGGATATACCACAATCTGTGGTAGCCGTCGGAGGGATGGCCGTGCGGGTACCATTGGCACCAGCCTGGCCTCAGCGCGGCCGTGACCCGACCGCCGGCCCCTGCAGGCATCTTCAAGCGCGACGCGCACGAGGTGCTGGACTTCATCATCAAGCTGATCAGCCAGGCGCGCCGCTGGTCGCAGACGCTGCCGCTGGACGGCGTCTACCACTGCCTGAACCGGGCCGTGCTCTACATCCTCTCGCGGCCCACCGACTGCGTGGCCGAGCAGCTGCGCGTGCTCGAGGCGCTGCACACGCTGACCAATCACAGGTGAGCGGCGCGTGCGCGGCAGCCAATCCCCGACTGCGTGGCCGAGCAGCTGCGCGTGCTCGAGGCGCTGCACACGCTGACCAATCACAGGTGAGCGGCCGGCGTGCGGCAGCCAGTCACGGGCGAGAGATGGGCGCGCAGGGAGCGGGGGCCAATCATAGGTCAGCGACGGGCGCATGGAGGCCAATCGCGGACGAGAACCACGTACGCGAGAGCCAATCACGGGCGAGAGACTGAAACATGAGGTGTCAACAACGCGTGGGAAGTGGTCACATGCGCCAGGCACTGCTCAGTCGTACCTGCGCGTGCCACCTGCGAGCAAGGTGAGGACGCACACATGTGCTGGTGCGATAACCTTGTCTGGGCGGTGTCGTGTAAGGCTCACACGTGTGGGTTTACCACCGGTGAAGCACACATGGCTGACGAGTGGCAGGTCAAATATACACGTCATGGCATGTGCAGGAGCACATCGGGCTGGCAGGCAAGGCATCGCAAAGACGGGAGGGTCGAAGGGCCTCGTGAAAATGGCGGCGGATACGTGAATACACGCTGCTGCCGTGTCAGGGATCAGTTTAGCTCTACGCGCCTCGTTACAAGTCTGCTCGTCGTGCTTCGCCGCTGGGTATCAGCTGTGGCAGTGTAGCCGCCGCCAGAGTGTGCCCGGGTCCAGTGTGTTGGTCTCACACCGAGCCGCTCCCCCGCCGCCAGAGTGTGCTCTGTCCAGTGTGTTGGTCTCACACCGAGCCGCTCCCCCGCCGCCAGAGTGTGCCCTGTCCAGTGTGTTCGTCTCACACCGAGCCCCTCCCCCACCGCCAGAGTGTGCCCTGTCCAGTGTGTTGGTCTCACACCGAGCCGCTCCCCCGCCGCCAGAGTGTGCTCTGTCCAGTGTGTTGGTCTCACACCGAGCCGCTCCCCCACCGCAGGAGCCTGGTGTTCGGCTCCGGGAACCACGACTCGGAGTTTTTCGGCGCGCTGGTGTACTGCCTGCTGCAGCTGACCGGCGGCCTCAAGATCATGTGAGTGGACGGCTGAGGGACGGCCCGGGCGCGCCCGCCCGGACGCGCCCCTCATACACTTGGCGCACCTCGCCGTGCTGACGCTCCCCGCCGTGCCTTGCGGGCCGGCCGCGTGCTGGAAAACACAATCAGTAATCGCGTATTTTATGAATTATGCTCGGATGCACTTAAGCGTCAGGAAGTTGAAGCGGTCATACCTAGCTTCAGCTATTACCCATGTCCGAATTGGTTTGAGCCTAGATTTTTCTGCGACTGAAAGTGGAACGCTCCGAGCACAAACACCCTCGCTTTTACGTTCACTGTTTAAAGTGGTCTGCGACATGCGTAATGCTCGCCAATACAGGATTGGAGGGGGGGGGGGGGGCGGAGCAGCTGGTCCGGCGGGCCGGCCGGTGATCGGTGCAGAGGGCTGGACCAGAGTGCGCTGCGCTGGCGGTGCTGGCCCGGCGCCCGCTCACGATCCGGCCGTGTGCCCCCAGAGTGGAGGAGCGTGCGAAGCGGTATGTGATGAGTGATACGGTGGTGCCGTGACGGGTCGGCTGTCGGTGCATGTGGCGGGCTGGGGTCGCCCGGGCGCGGGATGTCACGTACCGGCTGGCGTGGTGCGCTCAGAAAACTTGTAGACCCACCGGGAATCGAAACCGGGACCCTCGGGCTCCAAGGTCGTCACTTAGCACACCCTAGCGCCCATGCTGCGTAGATGCATATGCAGTGTTGCGATTAGGCACATGGAACTTAGATACGTATTGTCGCACACCTGGATATTTAGCACATGAATGTGAACCGTAGAATAATATATGTGCTACAATATGCTATGCTGGGATGCATCGGTTGGTAAGCAACAAATAGCCTATCGTGGTTGACGTGAAAAGCAGCTTGGTTGGGGTTGTGTGTTGTTCCGGACCGTCTTGGTTCGGGTGCTTTCTGTCGGTCGCGAGGCATTGGATCCTGGTAGGAATGGGCGGTCATCACCTGTAACGCCACTTAAATGTGTTCAGGTCTGTCGTCATAATTGATCTCAGCACGTCTTCTACGCTTTTTTCGCAAGTGCATTAACGTGCCACGCGACACGTTTCTCCACGGAGGTCATAAAGTGTGCTAAGTCTGTCTGACTTGGCCTGCTCGCTGCACGTGACCTGACCTGACATGGCATGATTCAGGTCTTGTCATTCTGGCCACACGCGGCGTGGTCCTGCTGCCCAGCGCTTGACCTGACCTGTGACCTGACCTGACCTCTGACCCGCAGCATGGAGGCCGAGTCTCGAACGGTTTGGCACGCGATCCCGACCTCGCTCGACCCCGAGACCAGTCCCAACACGGCCCAGGGACACAACCTGATGGCCAACGCCGCCCGCCGTGTCTGGTGCGAGCTGTACATCTGGAAACGGCCCGCCGTCGAGGAGGTGAGGCTGCAGGGGCGGCACGGCGCCGAGCGGGCTGACGGCCCCGGCCCCGGCCCCGGCCCCGGCCCCGGCCCCGGCCCCGGCCACGACCACAGCCGTGACCACGGCCACGGTCACGGTCGCCAGGCCAGGGGTGTGCGTGCGTGTGGGTTGCCTGCAGAGCAGTGCATCGCTCTGACCTGATCTCACCTGACCTGACCTGTCCTGTCCTGTCCTGTCCTGTCCTGTCCTGTCCTGTCCTGTCCTGTCCTGTTCTGTCCTACCCTGATCTGCCCTGACGTCTGATGGCCGACAGGTTTGAAATGTCGGCCAGCCGCTGCAAAACAATGCATTGCCCCGGCATACCCTGACCTGACCTGACCTGACACCTGACGGTCGGCAGGTGTTTAAGGTCAGCCTGCCGCTGCAGAACAGCACGGCGCCGGACCTGGAGGCGGTGCGGGAGCTGCTGCAGGAGCCGGCCACGCGGCTCTGGCTGGCCTTCCTCGACGGCGAGAAGAAGTGCTCGTACCGGCCGCCGTGGGAGATCCAGGCGCAGCTGCAGACCGTCAGCAGCGTGAGCACGCGGCGAACACGTGGCGTCCGTCGGCCGCTGCGGCCCACACAGCGACGCATTCTGCTGAGGGGGGGGGGGGGTTGGATGTTAAAGGAGACGGGGAACGCAAGCACGAAATGAAGCTATTGCGGGCGGTCTGCAACATGTGAGACGGGGAGCGTGTGGAATTGAGGCAAGTCTCTTTTCATGTGGGTTTAGCTTGTTGGACCAGGGTTCAGCGGTTGCCAAAATGTCTGATGTGGCTTATGTACGAAGCGTGCAGCACCAGCATGAAATGTGCCCCCGAATTACACTTCGGTCGACGTGCCGTGCCGTCCCGCGCGCGTCACACGACAGTGTGGTGGGTGCGTCGGCGGGCGCGTGGTGACGCGCGCTGGCCGCCGGGCGCCGACAGAAGCTGCAGCGCGTGACGGGCGGCCTGACGCGGCTGGCGCAGCGCACGCGCTCGCGGCGCGACGACTCGGTGCGCGCGCGCCACTCGACGCTGACGGCCGGCGAGGCCGACCTCTGTACGCTGCAGCATATCGGCCTCGTCCGCGACACGGTGGCCACGCAGTTCCGCCAGCTGAAACAGGTGCGTCGCGCCGCGCCGCGTCGGTCCGTGTCGGCTCGTGCCCTGGTGGACGCTGCGGGAGGAGGGTGAGGGAGGAGGTGCGCCGTGTGGGTGGTAGGTGAGCAGGTGTTGGGGGTATGATACTGGGGTGGACGATGCACTGGAAGGTAAGACCGTGGTAAGCGACTTCTGGGTTAAAGTTGTCGGCTGAGTGACTCCTTGTGGGGTGATTACCGTGTGGCGACGTCAACTGGCGGCTTGAACTGGACGTGTCCTCGAAGCGAAAGGAGCGGAAAATGCAGACGTGGGCGTGAAGTCACTGTATTTGTTAGTTTGCCTCCCCGGATTACCCCGACCCCACTCGTACATTGACAGAATGGTCTCTTGCAGTGGCAGACGGTCTCGTGCAATGACAGAATGGTCTCGTGCAGTGGCCGGAGGTCTCGTGCAATGACAGAATGGTCTCGTGCAGTGGCAGACGGCCTCATGCAATGACAGAATGGTCTCGTGCAGTGGCAGACGGCCTCATGCAATGACAGAATGATCTCGTGCAGTGGCCGGAGGTCTCGTGCAGCGCCGAAGCACGGCCAGTGCCCTATGCAGCTAACACGCGCGGACTGACGGGACGTGCTGCGCTGTCTACAGAGCCAGAAGTACATGGACGACTTCCTGATGGACGAGTGGCAGCGGATGGAGATGGAGCTGACGAGAGAGCGCGGCCTCTGGGGCCCTGACGTGGGCAGCAGGTGAGAGGCGCCGCCGCCGCCACCGGCTCCAGCTCCGGCTGGAGCCGGTGGCGGCGGTCGGAGCTGGAGCTGACACGGAGCCCGCCGCTCGGCTCGCTCTAGTGTACTCCCGTGCGTCCGATGCGCGCTGGCCTCTGGCGGCCGGGCAGACGGCTGCCCCCGTTACAGTTGACACTGCTCTGTGTGATTCGCCTCTGCGCCTGAGGACGCCCGCTCTGACCGCTCCGATTGTCGGCCCGCTCCGGGGTGCTCTCGTGCGGGGTGTGTCTGGTGCGGCTGGCCTTTGGCGCCCGGCAGACGGCTGCCCCCGTCACAGTTGGCCCTCTGCTCTGAGTGACCCGCCTCTGCGCCGGAGGACGCCCGCTCTGACCGCTCCGACTGTCGGCCCGATCCGGGGTGCTCTCGTGCGGGGCGCGTCCGATGCGGCTGGCCTTTGGCGGCCGGGCAGACTCCGGGCCCGGTCACAGCTGTCGCTGTGCTCTGAGTGACCCGCCTCTGCGCCGGAGGACGCCCGCTCTGACCGCTCCGATCCTCCCGCGACAGCCTCAGCAAGTGGCAACTGGACAACACGGAGGGGCCGTGCCGCATGCGCAAGCGCACGAGCCTGGACGTGACGTTCTACCAGCGCTACCCGTACCGGCCCGACCTGGAGCTGGTGGTACACGTGAGTGGTCTGACGCGCGGCCGGCGGCGGCCGGGCCGACCCCACCGATAGATGGCAGCACCTGTGGCGCGTCGGCGTGGTACAAATGAGCCGTGGATCTCGTCAAAGACGGGCAGCTGCGCTTGTGGAGTAGCTGGAGGAGGCTGGTGGCATGGAGGGGCGTGGACACCCTCGTGTGTTGATTCTGTGCGTGTTGTTCTTGCTGTGCCGTCCTTTCGTCTCTCGGCGGGCAGCTCTCAACTTCCGCAAGCCCTTCGGTGGCCGGGTGCCCGGCGTGGACGCCCGCGTTGACAGTCGTCTCCCCGCTCCCCCCGCGCCGGCAGCGCGCCACCAAGTACAAGGTGGCGCGGTCGCGGGACGCGCGCGCCTGGGCCCAGCTGCCGCCGCGGCGCGCGCTGCTGGGCGGCGCCGAGGCCGGCCGGCCGGCGGCGGCGCCCGACCCGCTGGCGCTGACCGATGATGAGCCGGCAGACTGCGCCGACATCGGCGAGAAACTCCGACAGGCTGGTGAGAGCGCGCCCGCGCGTGGCGGTGAGAGGGCGTCCGCCGCGTGGTGGTGAGAGTGCGAGCGCACCCGGCGGTGAGAGCGGACTTGGTCGTGGCTGGTGAGGAGGAGGGAGGGGGGGGGGGGAGAGACCGTGGATGCGCGATGGTTGAGCGTTAGGTGGCCCGCATGGCGGGAGGCGTGGGCCATTGTTGTGGCGTAGCGAAAGGACATGACAAAAACTGGCAGAGGAGCCTTTCGCTTATGGATGTTTATGCGCTGTATCTGGAAAGTGGTTGGTGAGCGCACCACCCACGCGCGCCCAAATGAGTCTTAGTGCCGTAACGCACCTCCATCAGCCTACCATGTGTCCGTGACGTGCCGTGACGGCTGGGAGCCGCCGGGCGTGACGGGAGTGACGTGATGGCCGCCAGGCATCCGCGGCAGCCTGCGGCGGCGGCGCATGACCTCCGACACGGACGAGGACTCGGAATCGCTCGACCTGACGGAGGCGGCGGCCGAGGCGGCGGCCGCCGACCGGCCGGCCGCCCAGCTGGCCGACACGAGCCCCGACAACCAGACCCTGCTGAGGCTGCTCGAGAGCGGAGAGAAGGTGACGGCGCACGGACGCCGGGGAGTGCGCAGCACCGGGGCTCGGCCGGTGCCGGGGCCGCCGGCCGAGGCGCAAGGGGGGAGGGTAGGATGTGAATGTAGACTTCACAAGGGTAGGGTGTGAAGGCCTCGGCACGTGGGTTGGGAGCACGCGGTCTGAGCTCGGGCGGCGCGGGGAGCACAGGCCGGGACAAACGATGGGAGTGTGCGGTTTGCGTTCGGGCGGCAAGCCGGCTTGTGTGATAGGGCAGCCCCAGGACATCGAGCACCGATGGGACGGCTTTAAGCTCAGTCGGGTCTGGGATATGTCACGCATCTAACATCTCAGGCAGTTGTCATCAGCAGACACGCAGCTGTCAGTCTGTCATCTGTCAGCTGTCGGTCGGGGGCTATGCATGCCGCTGACATGGTTACTGTTGACGAATGTGGCGCGTGTGGCGATATAGGGAGGATTCCCTAGCCGTAGAAGCATGTCTCTCTATGCCTCGTTTTGCCAGATATGGCACATGTGTCAGTGGGAATGTCTTTGTACGGGTCTGACTCATACCGTCGTGTCGCCAGATATGGCACATGTACCAGTGGGAATGTCTTTGTACGGGTCTGACTCATACCGCCGTGTTGCCAGATATCGCACATGTACCGATGCGCGCGGATCCAGGGTCTGGACACGGTGGAGGGCCTGCTGCTGTTCGGACGCGACCACGTGTACGTGGTGGACGGCTTCACCATGCTCAAGACCAGGGAGATACGGTGAGAGGCGCCGCGCGGCGCTCGCCGTCCGGCGCTGGGGCGACGGTGGTCGAGACTGCGGTCAGTCATTAGTCGTATTCTCATTAATCCTTTTCACTAGTCCTTATCTATCACCTGTCCTATCGCTAGTCACTAGTCCATCTCTCATCTAGTTCTTTGTCTGGATCTAGTATTCCTCAGTCGAGAGCTTATTTCTAGGTCCGTAGTCCCTATCGAGTATTTCCCCCACTGCTTGTTTGTACATATTGGCAGTTGTTTCACACAGTGCATGTGTGTACACGATTCACGCGATCAGACTGCGGCGCTTAGTTTGTGAGCCTGCTGTCACGTGACCCGACGGCGAGCCAGCCGCGGAGCAGCCCGGCACCCGGCTGTGGTACTCAGCACACCCCGGCAGCCGGCCTCCGGTCCCGGCGTTGGCGCCAGCTCCCCGCTCATCTGATTGTGTGTGGGTGTGACATGAGCGGGTGTGACCTGACCTGAGCGGGTGTGGCCTGAGTGGTGCCGGTGTGGTCTGAGCGGGTTTGACCTGAGCAAGTGTGACCTGACCTGAGTGGGTGTGGCCTGAGTGGTGCCGGTGTGGTCTGAGCGGGTTTGACCTGAGCAGTGTGACCTGACCTGAGTGGGTGTGGCCTGAGTGGTGCCGGTGTGGTCTGAGCGGGTTTGACCTGAGCAAGTGTGACCTGACCTGAGTGGGTGTGGCCTGAGCAGATATGACCTGAGTGGGGCGGGTGTGACCTGCGTGTGTGACCTGAGCATGTGTGACCCAAGGGGTGTGACCTGGGCAGGTGTGACCCGACCTGAGTGGGTATGGCCTGAGCGGGGCTGGTGTGACCTGAGCGGGTGTGACCTGACCTGAGTGGATGTGGCCTGAGCGGTGCCAGTGTGACCCGGGAGGGTGTGACCCGCGCCGCCGGCCTCCCGCAGCGACATCAGTAACCTGCCGGCCAACATGCACGAGCCGATCGTGCCGTGCCAGCCCACCGGCCGGCTGGTGAAGGACGTCCGCTCCGTGTCCAAGGTGGCCTACGACGACATCCGCGAGGTGCTCAAACGCAGGTCAGTGGCTCTCAAACTTCAGCAGCCACTGGTGGGCGGCCTGAAGCAGCTGTCGGTGGTTTTAAAATAACGTGGACGCCGGTGACAGTGATGTGGACCGTGAGACCGCACCAACGAACGCCGTGCCTGGTAACTGCGCCGAAGCGTTGCCGCGCCCCGCCCGTGCGGGTAGCAGAGGGCGTGGCCTTGTTTGTGCGGGTGTCGTGGCTGCTGTCCCTGCCGATGCCTGAACGCGAGCTGTACCGGGCTAGTGTGAGCACCACGCGGTGGGCTGAACCTCGCACCGTATATCGTTGCCGCCCTCAGGCGAACGCGGGCTGCACCGAATACCGTTGCCGCTCTCAGGCGAACGCGAGCTATTCCCGGCTAGCCTGAGCACCACGCGGCGGGTTGTACTCCTGTACCGAGTACGGCCGCCGCTATCAGGCGAACGCGAGCTGTACCCGGCTAGCGTGAGCACCATACAGTGCGTTGCACCCCTGTACCGTGTACCACCGCCGCTCTCAGGTACCTGCTGCAGCCGATAGCCGTGGAGTTCTTCTCGGCCGATGGGCGCAACTACCTGCTGGCTTTCCCCATCAAGACCAGGAATAAGATCTACCAGAGGTGAGCACGCGCGCCCGCGCCCCGGCCGGCTGGAGCGGCGAAGGCCGGACTCGCAGGCTGGTATTGTCGACTTGCCCGTCGAATTTTCTCTCAACATCGGCATCTGGGAGCCAGTTGTGCATTTGTGCAAGATTGTGTTGCTTCATTGGCCCATGATTTCGTACTCGGTTCACGGTTAGCCATTATCACTTGCATGAAGCTTATGGGGTGTCTGATAATCCAGCCATAGCTAACAACACCATAAAGCATGCTTTCGTTTCAAAGAGTATGCCTCCAGTTCAGTGATCGCGTGTAAGCGACAGCAACAGATAGGCCGCCGCTGTCCCTCTTCGGGCTGGGAGTCCTCTTTGGGGTCTACCTTTGCCGAATGCAATGCCGGTAGTGCCCTGCTGTGCGTAGCGTTGTTACACGCTGCGGTCGCGTCTATCTGTTCTAAACTGACCGTCTCATCTCCACAACATGGATGGTGTAACTGACCTGACCTGACCTGATCTGACCAGACACGGGTGTGTCTAGTATGGTGTCCGGGACCTGACCTGACTCGCGTGCGCCTCAGGATGATGTCCGTGCCCTGACCTGACCTGACCCGCGTGCGTCTCAGGATTGACCTGACCTCACCCGCGTGCATCACAGGATGATGTTCGTGACCTGACCTTACCCGCGTGCGTCGCAGGATGATGTCCGTGCCCTGACCTGACGCGCGTCCGTCTCAGTATGATGCCCGTGACCTGACCTGACCTGACCTGACCTGATCCGCGTGCGTCTCAGTATGGTGCCCGCGACCTGACGTGACCTGACCCGCGTTCGCCTCAGTATGATGCCCGTGCCCTGACCTGACCTGACGCGCGTGCGTCTCAGGTTGATGTCCGTGTGCTGACCTGACCTGACCCGCGTGCGTCTCAGGATGATTTCCGTGGCCTGACCTGACCTGACCTGGCCCGCGTGCGTCTCAGGAGGATTCCGTGACCTGACCTGATCTGACCTGACCCGCGTCCGTCTCGGTATGATGTCCGTGGCCTGACCTGACCTGACCCGCGTGCGTCTCAGGATGATGTCCGTGGCCTGATCTGACCTGACCTGACCCGCGCGCGCCGCAGGATGATGTCCGTGGCCACGTCGATGGCTGACACGCAGGAGAGCGTGGCCGGCCAAAAGACGTCGGCGAACGTCGACCAGAGCGGCAGCTTACTCAGCTCGCTGATGGGCGACACCAGCGTCACGCAGCGCTGGGTGGTGAGCACGCAGCCGCGAGCACGCCGCTGGCACCCGCCGCCCTGTGTAGGCGCTGTGGTTTGTTTGCTTCGGTGGACGGCGTCTGGCAGAGGTCGGTCCGGCGGCGTACAACAGCGGTAGATGGGTCAGGGTATGCGCTGTGTTGCGCCGTAGGCCTCAGCTCATCACAATAGTCGGGATTGCGTTGTGCGCTGCCATGTGAGTGAGCCGACAAACAATGTGAGCCGTGAAAGAGCGGCATTGTGGCGTAGCATGTGTTGGGATGCCCGCTGGTGGCCCGTGTGTCCTGGCGACCCGGGCGTGACACCGGCCGGCCGCGATGTAGCGGGCCCGGCGGGCGCCGCCTCGGCCGACGGCTGACGGAGCCCCGGCCCGTGTCCACAGCGAGGCGAGATGTCCAACTTCCAGTACCTGATGCACCTCAACTCGCTGGCCGGCCGCTCCTACAACGACCTGATGCAGTACCCGGTGTTCCCGTGGGTCCTGGCCGACTACACGTCCGAGCGGCTGGACCTGGCCGACGCGGCCACCTTCCGCGACCTGACCCGACCCATGGGCGCGCAGACGCCCCGCCGCCAGCACCAGTTCGAGAAGAGGTGCGTGCTGAGGGGAGGGGGTGGCTCTACCAGTCCGACGAGAGGTGGGCGTCGGCCGGGTGTGCGAGCTGGTCCACCGTTGCGGGAAGAGGTGCGTGTCTGTGTGCCCCAGCCACTCCGCTCGCTCGAGAGGAGGTGCGTGTGTAGATGCCCGCCAGCTCCACCAGTCCGGGAAGAGGTGCGCGTGGCGGCGTGCGCTCAGGTTAGGGTTGCCACTGGCCAAGACTGGTAGGCGTCTCTCTCTCGCTCTCTTTCGCTCTCTCGCTGGCTCTCGCGCTCTCTCGCTCTCTCTCTCGTGACCAGGTTAGCCGCCCACGCGCGCTATACAGCACACACTGAGGAGATGTGTGGGCGGTGGCGGCGCCGAAGGCGGGCGGCCCGGCCGCGCGGCTCCGGGCGAGCTGGGCTCGGTCTGACGTACCCGCACGCGCCGCCCACACCCTGTCCTGGTGCCGGCCATGTCTGTCCTGGTCACTGCAGTTTGTTACAGTTCGGACTGTTGGGCCACGCCTCGTAGAAGAGGAGGTATCAGTATAGTGTTCTCATAGGCGATAGGTGGGCTGCCTTACACGCGTGTCTTGTAGAAGCGATGATGTCAGGTGCCAATATGTGGATATTGCACAGCTGTCAGTTGTGTGCCGAGGTGGGTCACCGCGACGGACAGGGCAGCGTGGTAAAAGGCATTGACACGCAATGTCCCGAAGTGAGCTCCATAGCCGATATAAGAAAGCTAGCAAATAATGCATTACGTGTCACCAGTGACTTGTTTCTCCTCACATGTTGCTCTAGCCCGCCCGGCCATCCGATTGGTGACCTACTGACCGGCGTCGTCCCTGATTGGCCTGCGGTGTTGTGACGCGTGCGGTGATTGGCCAGGTACCGGGAGTGGGACGACCCGACGGGCGAGACGCCGCCCTACCACTACGGCACCCACTACTCGTCAGCCATGATCGTCTGCAGCTACCTGGTGCGGCTGGAGCCGTTCAGCACCCACTTCCTCCGACTGCAGGTGAGACGGGGCTGTCGACCGGTGTTCCGTCAGGCTGTCGACCAGTCCCAGTCGAGCTGTCGACCGGTCCCCGCCGAGCTGTCGGCCGGTGTTCCGTCGAGCTGTCGGGCGATGTTCCGTCGAGCTGTCGGGCGGTGTTCCGCCGAGCTGTCGGCTGGTGTTCTGCCGAGCTGTCGGCCGGTCCCCCGCCGAGCTGTCGGCCGGTCCCCCGCCGAGCAGTCGGCCGGTCCCCCGCCGAGCTGTCGGCCGGTCCCCCGCCGAGCTGTCGGCTGGTCCCCCGCTGAGCTGTCGGCCGGCGCCGTGCCGACAGTTCGGCTGGTGTGGCCCCGAGGACGAAAGTTCGCGTGACCTTGGCCGTAACCCATCAGTAAGCGTCCACGAAGGCATCGTGTGAGGCTGGCTAGAAGCATATGAGCTGAACTGTTTGTAAAAAGCTCAAGCGTGCCGGCTTAAGGCGAAGCACCTTTACAAGATGCCATACCACGGCGCACTTAAAAGGGGTGTTCCACGTATATGTGGGGTCTTTAAGTGAAATAGCCATTTTGAAGACTTTTCGGTGCTGTTTACAATTCTGCTCTTCTTAAGACCTAAGTCCCGCTAGTTTCTGACCTGCACGCCCGTGGAAATGGAGTTTTATTTGGGGGGGGGGGGGGTAATTTTAAGCCACCTCGGCATTCATGACGTCCTTATAACGTCATTCAAATTCTTTAATTCCATAAGCCATGCGGCAATCAGGGCCAAGAAAAATATTACTGTTTAGGCGTTCTTATCTGGCGTTCGTGAGCACAATTTACAGATATGACGGTTATTAATTGGCTCTCAATCAATCCTGTGCAAGACACGATGACATTTAGGAGCATATTTGCTCAACAGAACTGTGCTGTCTGGAGCACTCTTTTCCACTTAAAAGCATACTAATTATAATAAGGGAGCTTGCTTCATCACATCTGATGCTTACTTCATTATCTCCAAATGTGAAACCTTCCATTTAACGTGCGTAATAGGCAGCTGTCCGCGGCTGTTCGGGACTTTGCGTGTACGTCCTGCGCACGTACGTGTGTGTACCTGGTTGTCCGCTGTTCAACGTACGGCGTCCACGGGCGAACACGGCCTCACTGCCAGGCTGTACGCAGTGAGGCCGTGTTCGCCAGTGCGCCGGTGATCTCTAAGTGGCCTTGTGTGTGAACTCCCAGATGGTGATTGGGCCGGAGCGTCCGTGCCGGGCAGGCGGGCGCGCCGCCGGCGGTGTCCGGCGGCCTGGCCACGCCTGACCCGGCCGAGCCCTGCGTCTCTGCACAGCGCGGTCACGTGGCCACACTCTGAGCTTGCTGGGTCATGAACCTTGCCACCCCCTAGGGCGGGAGCTCGCTGAGCCACAAACCTCGTCACGCTCCCTGGGCGGCGGCTCGCTGACCCGCAAACCCCGCCACGCTCCCAGGGTGGGAGCTCGCTTAGCCACAAACCCCGCCTTGCCCCCAGAGCGGGACCTCGCTGAGTTACGAACCCCGTTTCTCCCCAAGGCGGGAGCTCGCTGAGCCGCAAACCCCGTTTCTCCCCAAGGCGGGAGCTCGCTGAGCCACAAACCGCGCCTTGCCCCCAGGGCGGGAGCTCGCTGACCCGCAAACCCCGTCACGCCCCCAGGGCGGGAGCTCGCTGAGTTACAAACCCGGCCTTGCCCCCAGAGCGGGACCTCGCTGAGTTACAAACCCCGTTTCTCCCCAGAGTGGGAGCTCGCTGACCCGCAAACCCCGTCACGCCCCCAGGGCGGGAGCTCGCTGAGTTACAAACCCCGCCTTGCCCCCAGAGCGGGACCTCGCTGAGTTACAAACCCCGTTTCTCCCCAGGGTGGGAGCTCGCTGACCCGCAAACCCCGTCACGCCCCCAGGGCGGGAGCTCGCTGACCCACAAACCCCGTCACGCCCCCAGGGCGGGAGCTCGCTGAGTTACAAACCCCGCCTTGCCCCTAGGGCGGGCACTTCGACCTGGCGGACCGGATGTTCCACAGCGTGGAGGACGCCTGGCTCTCTGCCTCCAAGCACAACATGGCCGACGTGCGGGAGCTCATACCGGAGTTCTTCTACCTGCCAGAGTTCGTCGGCAACGCCAACGGCTTCGACTTGGGTAGGGGCTGCCGGCGGGCCGCCCTGCGGTGGGCGGAGTCTGAAGGGAGACGCTCCGCGTGTGTGTGTGTGTGGACGGGGGGGGGGGGGGGGCGGCGGTGGTGTGCCAGTTTGATGGTGTGTTTGTGCGCTCGATACTTCTACTGGAGTTACTCATTTTTCTGCTATGCCGGCGTTTGGCAGGGCTATGCTGGTGCACGCTGTTTCAGCCGCATTTGGTCCCAGGGAAAAGCTCTCTAACAACTGTGTTATATTGGAAATCGAGGGTTAGTTGTGACATAAAGACGAGTTGGTTGGCCCTCAGTCTCCAATGCACAATAACCTCTCCACTGTGGACTTTTTAATTAGAAAATAGATGGGTAATATCGCCGTCATGCCTCAACCAGATCTCATTATCTTGTGCTCGGTTCTTTCGGTATTCTGTGTGCGGTATGCACAAGTCCCCTGGTGGGGCGCAGAATCATCGGCTTCGTTTTCAGCGCTTTAACACGTGCTCTCATAGTCTCTGTAGCCGCTGGCCGGCTGACTCGGTGTTGCCTGTTGATGGCCGAGAACGCGCCGCTCGGTGCCCGCCGGTCCGCCCTGGCTCGTCAGCCGGACGAGGCCACGTCACAGAGCTGGCGCCGTCCTGGTCCCCAGGTCACAAGCAGAACGGCACCGCCCTGGACGACGTGGTGCTGCCGCCCTGGGCCAAGGGCGACCCGCGCGAGTTCATCCGCGTGCACCGCGAGGCGCTGGAGTGTCCGTACGTCTCGTCCCACCTGCACCATTGGATCGGTACGTCACGTGTGGTCCCACCTGCACCGCTGGGTCGGTACGTCACGTGTGGTTCCATCCGCACCACCAGATCGGTACGTCACGTGTGGTCCCACCTGCACCACCAAATCGGTACGTCACGTGTGGTTCCATCCGCACCACCAGATCGGTACGTCACGTGTGGTCCCACCTGCACCACTGGATTGGTACGTCACGTGTGGTCCCACCTGCACCACCGGGTCGGTACGTTGTGACGCGGCCACCAGCTCATCGCGGCACGAGGGAAGGGAACGGCCGGGGGACGAGTCTGCTCTGATCCCTGCTTGGATAACATGTCAGGGGTGGTGGGTGTGAGGTCGGAAAGGAGGCGGACTTCTGGATAGTAACACAGTATTCTGGCGCCGCTGTGACGCTGTGTGGTACAGTAGTAGGTGAAGGGCTTTTGGTTCATGCCATTATTTCAGCATAAGGTGGATAGTGTAAGTTGTTAGCATCGACCGACACCGAGCTGACGATGATGACACCGAGCTGACGATGATCACAACACCAAGCTGACGATGATCACAACACCGAGCTGACAATGATGACGACACCGAGCTGACGATGATCACAATGGCGAGCTGACAATGACCACAACACCGAGCTGACGATGATCACAACACCGAGCTGACAATGACCACAACACCGAGCTGACGATGATGACGACACCCAGGCGACGATGATCACAACACCGAGCTGACGATGATCACAACACCAAGCTGACGATGATCACAACACCGAGCTGACAATGATGACGACACCGAGCTGACGATGATCACAATGGCGAGCTGACAATGACCACAACACCGAGCTGACGATGATCACAACACCGAGCTGACAATGACCACAACACCGAGCTGACGATGATGACGACACCCAGGCGACGATGATCACAACACGGAGCTGACGATGATCACAACACCGAGCTGACGATGATCACGAAGAGATTACGGCATCGTGACCAACAGTTAACTTGATCTCGCTTAATTAATTTGCTTTTACTGGCCCGCAAAGTGCGTCCCTGCAGTTTTCCGGGTGTATTCCACCAGGTAATTTTTGCGAGTCGTGTCCGTGTCTTGAATCGGGGCTCGTTGTCGGAGTCCCGATTCTCGGTGAGTCCTGTGCAGCCGTGGCCTGTTCGGCGCGGTTGAGACACGCCCTCCGTCCTCGGTCACCATCATCGGGACGTCGGGTCTGGGCGTGTTGCAGACCTGATCTTCGGCTACAAGCAGCAGGGTCCAGGGGCCGTGGAGGCCTGCAACGTCTTCCACTACCTCTTCTACGAGGGCAACGTCGACATCTTCAGGTGCGGCTCACTGTTACCCCGCCATCGGCCAGCTAGTGGTTTTCGACGCATGGCTGTAGCTGCTGCTCAGGTGGTGAGCCGGCATGGGTGGCTCGTGAAGTTTGTTGGCAGGGTGATTTTCGCTTTTATCAATGAAATGGCTGTGATGTGTTCATGGAAGGCTCATGTTCACTGTGACTGCGGGTAAGAAACGAGTGGCGCGTAACAACCAGTTGTGTGTCTCCCCGATTATCATCGGATTTATTGTGTTACGCAATGGTTTTCTTCCGCCTGGAACAGACCGTCTCTGCTGCCGGACTTCCCACTCCGAGCTGGCCTCTGTGTACGTGGGGGCCGGCTGATGCCGCCGGCGCCTCCGAAACACGGCCCGGCCCCGCCTGGCAGCTTGACCTGACACGTGCGCGCCCGCCCCTCGCCAACAGCATCGAGGACCCGCTCAAGAAGAACGCAACGGTGGGCTTCATCAACAACTTCGGCCAAATCCCGAAGCAGCTGTTCCGGAAGCCGCACCCGCAGCGGCGGCTGGCCGGCGGCGGCGGCGCCGTGCTGCACCCGGCGCGGCTCACCAGCCGCCTGCTGGAGGGCGCCTGGCAGCAGGGCCTGGGCGGCGGCGGCGCCGGCGCCGGCGAGCGCCTCTTCTTCCACGGCCTGGACAGTCTGCGGCCCAGCATGCAGCCCGTCAAAGGTGGGCCCGCGCGCGCGCTGGGGCGGGTGGTGTGGGGGGGGGGGGGGGCAGGGTACGGCTTGGAATGGTGAAGTGAGATGAGATGAGATGAGATAACATAAGATGCGGTGAGATGGGCTGCGGTGAGACAAGGTGAAGTGGTGTGGGGTGAGATGAGATGAAACGAGGTGTGGATAGGTGAGGTGAGCTGGTATGAGAAGCGGCGAGGTGAGATGGGGCGAGTTAAGATTAGATGATCTGATGGGATGAGGCGTGGGGAGAGGGGCATGGGCGGTGGAGCGCTCGGTGCAGCTGTACCCAGCCTGGACTGTGCTTAGCCCGAATACGGTCAGCCGAAGCTGGGGGCGCTTTAATCTGTGTGGTGATGAGGAGCACACAGATATTGGGGTAATGGGTTTAGCTGTTTGTTCACCAAATCCGTTACACCCATGCGATATTTGAACCCATATGGTCCGTGGGACCCATGCGGTCGGAGACACCCATGTGGTTAGTGGCATTACTCTTAAATTTCATGTGACCCTGGGCATCCATGACACACCTGTAGCCGTGACACCCGTGTGACCGATGACATGTGTGACACGTGTGCACCACCGGCCGCTCAGGCCGTGACACCGCCCGTGACACTCATGTGGCCGATGACACGTGTGCACGACCGGCCACTCGGGCCGTGACACCGCCCGTGACACCGCTGTGACCTGTGTCACGGGTGCACCACCGGCCACTCGGGCCGTGTCACCTCCCGCGACCGGTGTACCTACACGCGCGCCTCTCCGCCGCCAGAGCTGAAGGGCCCGATCGGCCACATCGTGGCCACCGACCGCTCGGTGCTGGCCGTCGAGCAGAACAAGTACATCGTGCCCGGCGCCAGCTCGCGCTACGTGGCCTGGGGCTTCGCCGACCACAGGTCAGGCTGGGCAGGGTCAGACTGCGGACCGCCGGCCGCCGCCGGTCACAGCCCGTCGTCACTGACGAGAGGCGGCTGGGGTTCAGGCGCGGCGGCTGGGCGGCAGGGTTTTGCTGGCGCCGCTTGTGTTTGGTCCGTGCTTGTTGTTCAGCATCGAGTTATATATATGGGTGTGGGCGTGCGTGCGTGTGTGCGTTGATTCCCCCATCGCTGCTGGCTGACGACGTTGCTGAGGGCAGCGGCTGCCGGTGTTAAATGCGCAATCCCCTCGTATCATGACATGGGCGGCCAGCGGTGGGGTGGCCTGTTAGCGCCAGCGGTGAGGTGTCCTGTTAGCACCAGCGGAGAGGTGTCCTGTTAGCGCCAGCGGCGAGGTGTCCTGTTAGCGCCAGCGGTGAGGTGTCCTGTTAGCGGCCAGCGGTGGGGTGTCCTGTTGGCGCCGGTCGTGGAGTGTCCTGTTGGCGGGCGACGGTGGGGTACCGGAGCCAGCAGTCCGGTCGGGCGCCGCCGCAGCTCGGCTGGCGGCACCGCCGCGGCTCCGCTGGCGGGCGCCGCCGCGAGACCGGCGGCCGCAGCCAGCGTCGTCGCCCGACAGCCTGTTCGCCATGCGATGTCGTTCCCCGCCCTGCTTTGAGACTGAGCGGCGGCGGTTTTAACACATCGCACAGCAGCCGGCGGGATGTCTTCACCCAGCTCTGGTGCCCAGCCACCGCTGGTTCTGCACATCCCGATAACGCTTCGTCGTGCCTTCGGAGGAGGCCAGAATGTGCGGTGAAGACTTGCGGAAGCGAAACTGGCTACCGAACCGAGCTGTGTCTTCACAGTGCCAGGCAATCGGTTCCGCTCAAGCGGAACTGTCCTGGCCTGTCAAGATCTCTCACGTGTCCGGCCTCGCCGCTTGCCGGGAGCCTGATCGCGTCATGCTTGTCATCGTCTGCCGGCTGCCCGCCTCTGTCGCGGCCATGTCCCGCCGTCGCTCGTCTGGCGGCTCTGTGCCGGCCGCTGACGGTCGGTCTCCGTGTGTGTGTGTGGCAGTGTGCGGGTGGGCAGCTACGAGACGGACCGGGCGTCGCTGGTGGCCGAGCTGGTGTACAGCGGCGAGGTGCTCTGCTGCCTGGCGCCGCGTCACAAGCTGATCGTCACCGGCGGCACCAGCACGGTACGGGCCCCGGCCCCGGCCCCGGCCCCGGCCCCGGCCCAGGCCCAGGCCCAGGCCCAGGCCCCGGCCCCGGACCAGGCCCTGGACCAGGCCTCGGCCCCGGCCCCGGCCCCGGCCCCGGCCCCGGCCCCGGCCCCGGCCCCGGCCCCGGCCCCGGCCCCGGCCCCGGCCCAGGCATGGCCGGTACACAGCGGTCACACTCACAGAGGCATCAGGGTCCACACAGGGGTCACATCCACACAGACGTCAGGGTCCACACAGGGGTCACATCCACACGGACGTCAGGGTCCACACAGGGGTCACATCCACATAAACGTCAGGGTGCACACAGGGGTCACATCCACACAGACGTCAGGGTCCACACAGGGGTCACATCCACATAAACGTCAGGGTGCACACAGGGGTCACATCCACACAGACGTCAGGGTGCACACAGGGGTCACATCCACACAGACGTCAGGTCCACACAGGGGTCACATCCACATAAACGTCAGGGTGCACACAGGGGTCACATCCACACAGACGTCAGGGTCCACACAGGGGTCACATCCACATAGACGTCAGGGTGCACACAGGGGTCACATCCACACAGACGTCAGGGTCCACACAGGGGTCACATCCACACAGGGGTCTCATCCACACACACGTTAGCGCTTGCGCGGGCACCTCGAGAGCTACACAAACGTACGGCTGCGCAGCCGGTTACTGGGACGTTTGCACGCCATTTCTGATAGCATGCTAGCTCGCCTTTGTAGCAGGGCACGATCATGCCTCTGTGTGGTTGCTGAGCTCGTCTCTCGATCAGATTTTGTGATGCTTGTAGGTACTTTTGAGTCATAGTGGACTATTTTGTAATGGTCGACCGGTGCACAGATCCCTTTCTCGGCTCGAAGATGAACTTCGTGTTACAATTGTTTCGTATTTCAGTTAATTTCGTGTTCGTGAAGGTAAATTTCGTGTTTTGTGTTGCCCGGATACGGCTTCGGAGCACACGTAAAGTCTGGCCGCCTACCGGCCGCTGCCACAACCTCAAGCTGCGTCCTCGTCCGCCAGGTGGTGGTGGTGTACGAGTACGGCAAGCGGCGGCTGCGCGTCAAGGCGCGCCTCTGTGGCCACACAGAGGCGGTGCTCTCGCTGGCGGCCAGCACCGCCTACTCGCTCATAGTGTCCGGTGAGTGTGGCGCCACAGAGCGACAACAGCACAGCAGCCGGGGGGGGGGGGGGGGGGGGGGCGTCCTGGCCGTCGGCCTGCTGGAAGTCGTGTGCAGCGCTGTCACGTACAGATGTGGCTCCCAGTCTTCGCTGATGATTGGATACTGTGCGTATGGATGGGTCATCTGAAACCTGACTGGCAGCTCCTGTATTGTCTGGTGCTTGTTGAATTTGTCAGGTTGTATTCATTGGCGACGGCTCCGTACCTCTCTGACGTACCCATGTCAGTGGTGACGGTTCTGCACGCCTCTGACGGACCCATGCCAGTGGTAACGGCTCTGTATCCCTCTGAGGGGCCCATGTCAGTGGTGACGGCTCCGTACCCCTCTGACGTACCCATGTCAGTGGTGACGGCGCTGTACCCCTCTGACGGACCCATGTCAGTGGTGACGGCTCTTTACCCCTCTGACGGACCCATGTCAGTGGTGACGGCTCTGTACCCCTCTGACGGACCCATGTCAGTGGTGACGGCGCTGTACCCCTCTGACGGACCCATGTCAGTGGTGACGGCTCTGTACCCCTCTGACGGACCCATGTCAGTGGTGACGGCTCCGTACCCCTCTGACGGACCCACGTCAGTGGTGACGGCTCCGTACCCCTCTGACGGACCCACGTCAGTGGTGACGGCTCTGTACCCCTCTGACGTACCCATGTCAGTGGTGACGGCTCCGTACCCCTCTGACGGACCCATGTCAGTGGTGACGGCTCTTTACCCCTCTGACGTACCCATGTCAGTGGTGACGGCTCCGCACCCCTCTGACGTACCCATGTCAGTGGTGACGGCTCCGTACCCCTCTGACGGACCCATGTCAGTGGTGACGGCTCTGTACCCCTCTGACGTACCCATGTCAGTGGTGACGGCTCTGCACGCCTCTGACGGACCCATGTCAGTGGTGACGGCTCCGTACCCCGGTGTGCCCGCCAGGCTCTCGGGACGGCACCTGTATCGTCTGGGACCTGTTCCGCCTCACCTACGTCCGCCAGCTGCGGGGACACGCCGCCCCAGTGGCCGCCGTCGCTATCAATGACGTGACGGTGAGGAGGCGCCGCCGGCGGCGCGCACGGGCCGGCCGTGCCGCGGAGTCGCGTGATTGCCCCCGTTCGTTCTGATCACTGCGCTGATCTGGCACGCCTCCACTCTCTTGTGTCAGAAGTGTCGGTTGAGATGGCCGCACAATGTCCGTAGGCTGGCGGACTGGAAAATCTGCGTCTCTGGGACCCGAGCGGTGACATTGGTGGCCGTGAGGTGCATTGACGACCTCTGTTCACAACCCTCGGCTGTCGCTGCGGAGTTGCCGTGCACCCCCTGCAGCCGCTCCCTGTGTCCGCGTCACGGAGACGCGGGCGCCTCGGCCGCGCTCACCGCGGCGCGCCTCCGTGCGGCAGGGCGACATCGCCACCTCGTCAGGCACGTGGCTGCACGTGTGGACGGTGAACGGGGCCGAGGTGGCCCGCGTGAACACGGCCGTCGGCGCGTCCGACCGCATGCAGCAGATCCTCTGCCTGGGCTTCAGCCAGATCAACGAGTGGGACGCCGACAACGTCATCATGACCGGCAGCACCGACGGCGTCGTCCGGGTGCGTGACGTCATCGCGACGAGTCGGGGTATTGTGACGTCATCTTGACCTGTGGACGCCGACGGTGTTGTCGAGAATGTGACGTCATTATGGCAGGCAGAGTGGAAGTGTGGCAGTATTGTAACCGGCGGATGGCGGCGGCGTTCGGGAGCGTGGCGCCATCGAAGGAGTGAGGGTGTTGAGTAGAGTGACGTCATTATCACCGGCGATCGGTGCCCATATACGCGTCTGTGACGTCATTTTGAGAAGGCGTGGAGAGGGATGACGTCACTCGATGGACATGTCCGAGGGTACGTGATATCTGTGCGATTTCCCGTGTCGGTTCAGGTGAGAGTCGGGGCAGTGACGTCACGTTGCCTAGAGTGCGTGGTGTTGTGTTGTGACGTCACCAGGCGTTAATAGTCTGTGTGAGACCGTGCTTGGTCAGCATTGCTGTGGCGTATGTGGCGTGCTGTTCGTCCCTCGCTGTATACGTCATCTCATGTGGCGTGCTGTTCATCCCTCGCTGTGTGCGTCACCTCATGTGGCGTGCTGTTCGTCCATCGCTGTGCGCGTCACCTCATGTGGCGTGTTGTTCATCCATCGCTGCGCGCGTCACCTCATGTGGCGTGCTGTTCATCCATCGCTGTGCGCGTCACCTCATGTGGCGTGTTGTTCATCCATCGCTGCGCGCGTCACCTCATGTGCCGTGTTGTTCATCCATCGCTGCGCGCGTCACCTCATGTGCCGTGTTGTTCATCCCTCACTGCGCGCGTCACCTCATGTGCCGTGTTGTTCATCCATCGCTGCGCGCGTCACCTCATGTGCCGTGTTGTTCATACATCGCTGCGCGCGTCACCTCATGTGCCGTGTTGTTCATCCATCGCTGCGCGCGTCACCTCATGTGCCGTGTTGTTCATCCATCGCTGCGCGCGTCACCTCATGTGCCGTGTTGTTCATCCATCGCTGCGCGCGTCACCTCATGTGCCGTGTTGTTCATCCATCGCTGCGCGCGTCACCTCATGTGCCGTGTTGTTCATCCATCGCTGCGCGCGTCACCTCATGTGCCGTGTTGTTCATCCATCGCTGCGCGCGTCACCTCATGTGCCGTGTTGTTTATCCATCGCTGCGCGCGTCACCTCATGTGCCGTGTTGTTCATCCCTCGCTGTGCGCGTCACCTCATGTGGCGTGCTGTTCGTCCCTTGCTGTGTGCGTCACCTCATGTGGCGTGCTGGTCGTCCCTTGCTGTGTGCGTCACCTCATGTGGCGTGCTGTTCGTCCCTTGCTGTGTGCGTCACCTCATGTGGCGTGCTGGTCGTCCCTTGCTGTGTGCGTCACCTCATGTGGCGTGCTGTTCGTCCCTTGCTGTGCGCGTCACCTCATGTGGCGTGCTGTTCGTCCCTTGCTGTGTGCGTCACCTCATGTGGCGTGCTGGTCGTCCCTTGCTGTGTGCGTCACCTCATGTGGCGTGCTGTTCGTCCCTTGCTGTGTGCGTCACCTCATGTGGCGTGCTGGTCGTCCCTTGCTGTGTGCGTCACCTCATGTGGCGTGCTGTTCGTCCCTTGCTGTGTGCGTCACCTCATGTGGCGTGCTGGTCGTCCCTTGCTGTGTGCGTCACCTCATGTGGCGTGCTGGTCGTCCCTTGCTGTGTGCGTCACCTCATGTGGCGTGTTGTTCATCCCTCGCTGTGTGCGTCACCTCATGTGGCGTGTTGTTCGTCCCTCGCTGTGCGCGTCCGTGGCGTGCCGCTCGTCCCGCCATTCCGCCGTGTCGTGTGTTGGCATGTTTGATCCGCCAGCGTGGCGTGTTCCCCCACGGTGAGCCCGGCTCGCGCGCCGCGCCGTCGGCCCGGTGTGATGACGCGTCGCCCCGCCGCCGCCGCCAGATGTGGTCGCTGGACTACGTGCAGGTGCCCGTGGCGAGCTCCTCCAGCAGCCCGGACACGGACTCGGACCTGTCGGCCAGCGGGCATCTGCGCGTGACGCAGGGCCAGCGGCGCTCCTCCAAGGCCGACGAGATCGTCCGCAAGATGTCGCTAGTCAGCGGCGAGCTCTCGCCCCAGGGTCAGTCGGCGCGGCGGCCTCGCTGCTGGTGGCGCGGTCTGTGTGCGCCGCTGCGGGCGCCAGTGCCAACCCCGGGGGCTGGTAGCTGTGCTCTCCTCAGCGCGAGCGTTGGCGCCACCACAACGACAACGCTCATTGGCGCCACCTGTCGGTGACTTCACTCGTTTGGGTGTTGACCTTGCACCGCTACAATGTTTCCTCGCGCGGCGCGGTCAGCCCGGGGACGAGAGCGTTCTCTCAGTATCTCAGAGTATGACGCGGGCCGCCGGCCGCCTCAGTCGGTGGCACGACAGACCCGTGCGGAAGCGGGCCGCCAGGGCGAGGCCGCCGCCGCCTCCTCTCGTGCCCCGCTCACGTGTGAGGTGACCCGCCGCCTCAGCTGCGGGCGGGTCCGTGTGACCTCCCTCCGACACCACCATCGGTGCCTGCGGCTGGCTGGGGCGGCGTCGGCCTCGAGCCGGGGCGGGCGCTGGTGCCGCTGGCGCTGTGCTGCGGCTGTGCGGGACATGAGCGGGCCTGAGCGGGTGGGGCATCGGCTCTAAGCTCAGCCGCTCAGAGACAGTGTGGTGTGACCTAACGTAACATGCCATGGCTTGACCTGGACCTTGGCCATGACATGACAGGCCATGGCATGTCGCGTCATCGGTCGTCATTCGACCAATGACGCGACACGATGGCCGCATGTCATGATGCCCACATGTCATCGGACGGTCGTGGGTTGATCGCGTTGCTGCGGTCCCGTCTGGGGGCCTGACCTGACCTGACCTGACCTGACCTGGCCTGCGTGGCGCGTGTTTTCAGTGCTGCTGCGGTCCGGCTCGGAGAGCAGCCTGTCGGACGGCGGCGACGGCGAGGAGACGGACGAGTCGGCGGCGGCGGCGGGCCGGGCCGGCTCCCGTCGGCCGTCGGTGCTGCGGCGGCAGCAGGCCGTCACCGCCGGCGGCGGGCATCACGCGGTACGGCCCCGTCTGGGGACGCACGGACACGGACACGGACACGGACACACGCGCACACGGGTACACACGCACACGGACGCACGCACACGAACACGGACACGGTCACACACGCACGTGGATACACACGCACACGGGCACATAAGTACATGGACACACGCTGCACTGTATGGCTGAATCCCTGTGCATGGAGGCGGATATGGTCTCGACACCCTCCCACACTGCCGTGCTCTTCCGCGGTAGTTACACACGCACACGGACACGCAAGTACATGGGCACACGCTCTACCGTATTGCTGAATCCCTGTGCATGGAAGCGGATATGGTCTCCGCACCCTCCCACGCTGCTGTGCCCCTCCATGAGTGATTCCTGCACTGCTCCACGTGCTGCTCTTGTTCCTGTTTGCGTGCTGCCCCTGTATCCCCCGTGTGACTTGTTCTTCCACGTCTGATCATGTGCGGTCTAAGTATTACCCCATGCGCTGCCGCATGTCGCCGCCCCAACCACCCACGCGTGGCCTGGGTTTTATCTCTCGTGGCTATCACGCCCTTACATGAGTGAGCGCTGTACTCTTGCTGTGCCGCTTCTGGATCCACATAAGCGCGGACGCTTGGCCCCATATTGGCTCACGTGTGTCGTGCTCTGCCGCCTGTGTGAGCCTGCTCTCTACCACGTGATCAGGATACCGGCCCAGATGGGTGTGAGCTGGCGCCTCGCCCACGGGCGTCTGCGCCGGGCCGTCTCCGGCACAGCCGCGTCCCGGTGTGAGCGCCCTCTGGCGGCGTGTGTTGGCAGACGCAGCTGGGCGCGGCGCTGGAGGCTCTGGCCAGCGTCAGTTCGTGTGAGGAGGCGGACGGTCCGCCGGCGGCCGACGCCACCGCCGCCACCGCCACCGCCACCGCCACCGCCACCGCCACCGCCACCGCCACCGCCACCGCCCAGGAGCCGACCGGGTCCGCCCCGCTGAAGGCGGCCCACAGCCTGGAGACGGCCACCGAGCAGGCGGTTAGTGCTGCTGGCCATGCTGACGTCATGGATGACGTCAGACGGTGCAGCGGGTGGCGTCGATGGTCACTGTGGTGTCGTTCGTTCACCTTGCTAACCTGTTCGCGCAGTGTGATCCTGGAGTCCCCGAAGTGTGAGGTATGCGTGGTGTGGGTTCGGTTCGTGATCCTGACAGGGAAGTGAACAGGACGTGGAGGGAGCTGAAGTGTACTGAGTAAAACGTGTGAGTTCGTGTACTGTAGAGTTCGCCAAGTGCACGCCCAATCTGCGGACGGCGCCTTGCTGCGATGATGATGATGATTTGGGGCTTTAAGGCGCATCGACTGCTGTAGGTCATGCAGCGCCCATGACTATCAGTTTATGCAGAGCCGCCAATCAGGCAAGTGCATCAATCAAGTCACCCTATAAAGCCTTGATGATTAGGCCGAGTATCATGATGAAAAGATTGCTGGGAAATCTACAGCGCTAAGAAACTGGAGCACTTTACCAAAGTCGACAGCGTGCGAAGAATCCCCTAAAAAGTCACATACCTTGCTGCGACAAGGCGCCAGTGTCCGCCCCGCCGGACACCCGCGGCCGACTCAGTGCCCGTCGTCTGAGCGGCCGGGCACGTGCCGCAGGTGCTGCGCCGCCAGAAGGGCGAGCGTAGCCGCCAGGGGCCGCGCCGCTCGGCCGGCGAGCACGCGCTGCCGCTGCCGGCGCCGGCCGCCACCGAGCTGCGCAGCAGCCGCAGTGACACGGACCTGGCCGTCGAGGAGGCCGGCTTCGTGCTGGTGACGGACGCCGACGTGGATTCGGCCAGCGATCGGCGCCCGCTGCTCAGGGACGGTGAGAGGCGGGCCAGACTCAGGGACGGTGAGAGGCGGGCCAGACTCAGGGACGGTGAGAAGCGGGCCAGACTCAGGGACGATGAGAGGCGGGCCGGACTCAGGGACGATGAGAGGCGGGCCAGACTCAGGGACGGTGAGAGGCGGGCCAGACGGACAGGCGGCAGCTGTGATTGTGAGCTGTGACGCCCGTCGGCCACGGGACGTCGTTGGCCGAGGCGCCGCCGCAGGTGGTGATCTTGTCCGCCGCCAGGTACCGTCAAGCTGTGCATGTAGATTGTGACTTTATTAGACACAGGTTTATGGTTTTAGGGCGCGTCAGTCGCCTTGGACATTTGCGCTCATGTAATAGACACACAATGCGTATCATAGTAGATACGACGACATAACAGGCAGGTACCCAAACACAACTGCTGCCTCGTAGGGGCCAAGGCAAGTCGACAGCTCGTCGTCCGTGTTCTGTGCTCGCTGCAGCTCGCTGGGCGCCCACTGGCGGCCCGATCAGGTGGCTGGCGTGTTGGCGGGCGGCCGCGTGTCCTTTGTGGCCGCCTGCCGCGTCGGCGGCGGCGCCGAGTCGTCCACTGACGCTGCGCCCCCGTGCGCGCGCACGGGCAGGCTTCCGCTGGCAGTGCCAGCTGGTGTTCCGGAGCAAGCTGACCATGCACACGGCCTACGACCGGAGGGACAACGCTGAGCCGGCCAGCGTCACCGCCCTGGCCGTCTCCAAGTGAGTCGGCCCTCCGCTGCGCCCAGCGCCGGCGGCGAGCGGGGCGCGCCCGGGGTGGACCGCCGAGTTTGGGACGTCCGGACCGGGTGGCAAACTCTGGCGCATGGTGGTCCACCAGGCCGCGCGTCGCAGGCCTGGTGGACCACCCATCCTGGGCGCCCCCGGCGTGGACCGCCGAGTTTGGGACGTCCGGACCGGGTGGCAAACTCTGGCGCCGCACGTCGCTGGCCTGGCGAGCGCCGTGGGTGGTTTGGATAAAGGGACTGTCGGGTTGACGCCGGTGATATCGTGCAGACTTGGCTGTGTTCGGTTTCCCGGTCAGAGTGCCGCTGGTGTGTTGTCTAGTAATCTCCAGCCTTCCTGTGCTGCGATGCGGCGCCTGTGCCGGGCTGTGACAGGCGGGTCCGGCCCTGTGCTGAGCTTTCTTCGACCCTCTGACCCACGTCTCTGACCTGTGTCTCTGACCTATGACCCTATGACCCGTGCCTCTGACCTGTGTCTCTGTCCTGTGACCCTGTGATCTGTGCCTCTGACCTGTGACCCTCTGATCTGTTGCTCTGACCCGTACATATGACTCATCCCTTTAGCACATGCCCCCGACCCGTGGTTCTGCCCTGTGTCTCTATCCTGTGCGTCTGACACGTGCCTCCGACTCATCCCTCTAACGCACGTCTCTGACCTATGCTTCTGACCCGTGCCTCTGACTTAGCGGTTGGATTTTAAGGACGCGTCAGCTGTCCTCTGGCCTGTGCCTCTGACCTATGCCTCTGACCTATGCCTCTGACCTATGCCTCTGACCCGTGCGCATGACCTACGCCTCTGACCCCCGCATCTGACCACCTGCAGGGATCACCGGACGGTGTACGTCGGCGACTCCCGCGGTCGCGTCTGGGCGTGGAGCGTCTCGGACGCCGCAGGTAGGCCTCCTCCCGCTCCCGAGCGTGGCTTCGGTACCTCGTGGCACGTGACTGTTGTCGCCGGTCGCTGTTTCATCTTTCGTTGCTCGGGTCTGACTGTGCTCCTGCCTCGTTGTCGACTTGGTTGCGCTCAGTGGTTTTGGTCTTGGTGATCCCGCTTGCTGTAGTGCGCGTTCTGGTTTGGTTTGTCGGTCGCCGTTCGCTTGTGCTGGCGGTTTTCCCCTGTCGCCTACCCGGGCGGCGGGTAGCGGGGACTCCGCACGACGTTGGCGTCTGGCTGGTGCTCCCGCGGCGACGGCGGCTGGCGCTGGGGCAGACGAACAGACCGCTGACGGGCCGTGGTCGGGAGTGAGGCTCCCTCTGAGCGGTCGTGACGGATCTCTGACCAGTCCTGACGGATCTCTGAGCGGTCGTGACGGGTCTCTGACCAGTCCTGACGGATCTCTGAGCGGTCGTGACGGGTCTCTGACCAGTCCTGACGGATCTCTGAGCGGTCGTGACGGGTCTCTCTGACCAGTCGTGACGGATCTCTGATCAGTCGTGACGGATCTCTCCGACTAGACGTGACGGATCTCTGACTAGTCGTGACGGATCTTTCTGACTAGACGTGACGGATCTCTGACTAGACGTGACGGAACTCTATAATAGGTCGTGACGGATCTCTGACCAGTCGTGACGGATCTCTGGTCAGCCGTGAAGGATCTCTCTGAGCAGTGGTGGCAGATCTGTCTGACCAACGGTAGCTGTGTTCCCTCTCATTCCTGTAGGCAAAGAGCGCGGACCTGATCCCACTAAGCAGTTGCAGTGGGTCCCTCGGCCCAACACAGGCGGGCCGGAACAAATGTCAATGGCTTGATCTGGTCGGCAGTAACGGCACAATGCCCTTTGACCAAAAGTGTGCCAATCTGACCCATAGTAACGTGTTCTGGTGAAAACTTGCAGTAGTCACAAGAAGTGTCCTAGTAGTTGCGGGTCCCTGTGACCACTGACGGGTCCCTGCGACCACTGACGGGTCGCTGTGACCACTGACGGGTCCCCATGACCACTGACGGGTCCCTCCGACCAATAGTGACGGGTCCCTGTGACCATTGACGGGTCGCTGCGACCACTGACGGGTCCCTATGACCACTGACGGGTCCCTCCGACCAATAGTGACGGGTCCCTGCGACCACTGACGGGTCGCTGTGACCACTGACGGGTCGCTGTGACCACTGACGGGTCCCTGTGACCACTGACGGGTCCCTGTGACCACTGACGGGTCCCTGTGACCACTGGCGGGTCGCTGTGACCACTGGCGGGTCCCTGTGACCACTGACGGGTCGCTGTGACCACTGACGGGTCGCTGCGATCACTGATGGGTCCCCATGACCACTGACGGGTCCCTCCGACCAATAGTGACGGGTCCCTGCGACCACTGACGGGTCGCTGCGACCACTGACGGGTCCCCATGACCACTGACGGGTCCCTCCGACCAAAAGTGACGGGTCCCTGTGGCCACTGGCAGGTCCCTCTGACCATTGGCGGCGGGACGACTCTGTGCTCTCCTGTCAACTCTGCCGGGTCAAGTTCACTGTGACCGAGCGGAAGCATCACTGTCGCAACTGCGGAGACGTCTTCTGCGCTAGGTAGGCCGCTACCGCTGTTGCGCTGCCGCTGCTACCGCTGTTGATGCATCTCGCACATCGCCTCTTCCTTCCGCCACGCGGGAGGGGACGGAGTCCTGGGGGCGGCGCCAGAACACTCGTATTGGGAGGTAGGGGTGGACCTGAAGCTGAGGCTGAAGCTGAAGCTGAAGCTGAGCCCTTTCTCATTCGTTACATTATAGATGTGTTTCGTGAAGCACGCTAAGCACCTTCGTTCAACGCGTTTTGGTACATAACCTCGTTCAAAGCGATACTCAAAATGACAGGGCTCGCGCGACAGTGTTAAGCGATTTTCAAGTGCAAAAGCTGGACACCAAAAATGGGATGATATCGATGGAGGACATGGCATGGCTGGTGTGACAGCCCCCACACCAGTCATGACGGCAACCGGCACATTGTCATCACTTGCTTGTTGATGCCGTTCAGCCTGGCCCCCAGGCGCTCCGACCCTCCCCACCCGTGCTGGTGATGATAGGCACGGATGCGCCGCCACTCGGCTGCCGCGGGCGGCAGGACTGATGGGTGGCATGACTGTGCCCTTGCATGGCTTGGTGGGCTCTGTTGCGGTGGCGCGCCGCTGTCGTGTCCGCGGGTGGGTGGTGCCGCTGCCCCGGCGCCGCCCCAGAGCCGGCTGCCGCTCCACTCTGTGATGAGTCGGGCTGCCGCGTCAGCTGGCCTATGCCACCCACGTCCGCGCGCCCACGCAGACCCGTGTCCCAACTGCTGCTGGGTGGTTGTCGCCACGACCGTCGATGAGGCGCTTGTACTCTGTGACTTACTTTGGGCTTCTTCAGTAATGTCTGCCTGGCCGGTGACTAACCCCTGGGTGCCCGTAGTGTATTCTGCTCACCTCTGTGTGTCTGGAGATGGTTCGATATGATTTGACCTCTGTTGGCCCCCGCGCGACCTATGCTCACGCCGGACCGGTCCCGTTAGCTCCGCGTGGGACGCCCAGCCGGCGTCGTGGTGAGCCGTGGCTGACCCCGGTGTGACCTCTTGGTGATCTCGGTGCGACCTCCGCCTCAGATGCAGCCACCACGAATCGGAGATCCTTCGTCTGAGGATCCTGAAGCCGGTGCGCGTGTGCCAGCGCTGCTTCGATCTCTTGCGACGCCAGTAGCCGCCGCTGCTGCCGCCGCCGCCGGCCACCGCGCATCGGCCCCGGCCCCGGCCTGGGCACCCGCCAGCTAGTGTAGCTTTGAACGGCCGGGTTGGAGCCCGGACATTACCCAGCTCAGCCAATCCCAGGACATCCGCTTGGTCGTCATGACGACGGGCGCTTCGCGCGCGCGCGATCCGGCGGCGGTTGGTCGGCAGCTGATCAAGGGCCTTCGCCGAAGAAGGCCGCCCTCGTAGCTTTGCGTCTAGTCTGCGTGCGAGAAGTGCGGTTTTGTCGCCGCATTCCAGCGCCACGTGTGAGCCCCGAACAAAGTGTGGGCGCTCAGCCCGGCCCAGCCGCCAGTAGTCAGGGTCAGTCAGTCGGGCGGCGCTGGGCCAGCTTGTAGTGCGTGTTGTCCGCCAGCCCGGCCGCCGGCCGACTCCCCGCGTTCAGTCACATTCCCGCCGTCCCGGAGCCGCGTTTGTGCGTGTGCGTGTGTTGCAGGACTGGGTGGCGCGGCGCGCGCTCCGCCCCAGCGCCGGCGAGTCCTCTGGCGGCGCGGCACCCGCCCCGTCGGTCGACCGGCCAGCGCGTGACACGGGACGTGCCGGCCGGCGGGGGGGGGGGGGGCGCTCCACTGGGTTCTGTCTCACGGCAAGGGTGCGGCGGGTCGGCCAGCTGCGCTGTCTGGTAGCCAGCTGTGGGGTCGGTGTTGGTGTCGGCCCGTCGGCCGCTTGCTGGGCTGGCACCGCGCGGCGCTGCGAGGAGTTTGCGGCACACGGCCCGCCGTGAGTACGTGACAGTTATGGTGGTATAATGAGAAAATGTAGTATTATTTAACGCCGCATTTATTCGTTGTCCGCGGTTTTGTACTTTTATGATGCGGTCTCCGTTGGTAACCGCTGTATTTACACTGATGCCCGTGTTTCGTATTATGTATTTTATGCTTGCTTCCGCACTGTCTTTTGGGTCGGCTTGATAATGGTACATCCTACTTAATGCGAGCACGATTTTCAGTTCGTATCTGTGATCTTGAGCGGGCTGGTCTGGAGACGGTATTTACGTAAGATGTCCACCACGTTTAGCGCTCGGAAATATGAACTCCGCGTCGAACACTTGATGCCAGGTCGCGTTTGGACGATTCTCTGCGGCAGTACGGGCGCAGCTGGCCGCCGTCGGTCTGATGTTCGGTTTGTATGGCGCGGTGGAGCAAAAATGAATTTGGCGATAGCAGCGCGCTACCGCTTCCGAAATAACGCGCCGCTGGTGTGGAGCAGAGCCTGAACTCGAGCTTTAATTTGTTTCTGGCGCCGTCAGCGCTGCCCGCCGGCCCCACTGTCTCACGGGACGCGCACTGCTGTGTTTTGAGTTTGCCCCAGCCCGTGGTTATTTCCACTCGCTGCACGCCTCCAGTGGCTGCACTGCGCGCCTGCGCCAGCTGTCGGGCGCCGCTGTGGCTTCAGCGGGGCGTCAAGCCGCGCGCCGCGCCGTGTTACGGTGTGACTCCTGTGACGTCAGTCGTGTGACGTCACAACGGCGCAGGTGTGGCTGGTCAGTGGCGCGAAAGCCGGTCCAATAGATGCTGTGCTGTCTCTATGTGGTGCACGGTAGACAATACATGCGTGGTTCGATGTTATCGTCGCTGGTTTGGATCGCCCCTGCCCTCGCCGTCATCCCCGCTCGTCAACGGTTGCTGGGGAAGCCACAGGGCTTCCCGCCTGCAATGCATTAGCCGGAAACTGCACAAGCCACGTGTCAATATCGATGTTGACATTTTTACAGACAAGTGGTTTCTCTTGCTTCGCGGCGCGCAAAACTGGCGCTGTTGGCGTCGCTTCAGCTCCGCCAACGTGTCTATACCCGACATTGTTTATGTGTTTATTTGTTCATTTAGGACATAAGCATTCCACAGGCAAAAGCCAAATTACGGAAGCGGTCGAGTTTTAAGAACAACAAATATACGATATACGCCCAAACAAAAAACCTGACCAAACACACACTCACACACCGCACTTACACACTACACACAGTCGCAAATCGAGTTGTCAAGAGAATGTTCCACGTGCGCCGGCGAACCTAAACAAGTCATATCGGAATTATTTTATTGGATGAGAAAAGTCAGTTGAGGGAGAATGCTGCAAAATTGGTTGCAGACAGTTGGAAGTCGTGCGACAAATATATTTTTAAGTGTGTTGGTCCTTGCAAATGGCACGTGGAAAATGCCGACACGCTGAGAACGCCGAACGGGTGTAGCCATACCGAACAGTGGTCTCAGGCGAACGTAGTCGAGCCTGCGATCATATACGTTGTATGGAAATAGGATGTCGGACTGAGCAAAGCGTGCCTTGATAGATGCTGTTTTGAAGAAAACGAGAAGATGCTCATAATCCAGTGGAGGACACCGGGACTGGCTGCTCGAGCCCAACTACAGGAAAAAACCGGTGTTGTATTTCGAGCCGGGCGAGATGGGGAAACAGCAGCACCGCTCCAAATAACGCAACCGTACTCTATCAATGACCTCACATGAGCGTGGAAGGTACAAAGCAAAGCCTTGTGATTGAACCGCGCTTGACGAGGGCACGACGGCATTTGCACGCTTTGCATGAGAAGGCCCAGCATCCTGTGTGCTTTTGAGACGGTCTAATCTATGTGATTGGCAAAGGTGAGTTTGGTGTCCCGAAAGACGCCAAGATCGCGAATCTGTTGGCAGTTGTTATGGCGAGCACGTGAACGTTAAAATCTGGATTCGGTTCATTACTGATGCGACTCCTTAGTGATGGTTTGGGGTTTGAGGGCGTGTAGGCGTCGAGACCATGTTGCAGCCACGCGAAAACAACCATCTAGGTGAGTCGTCAGGTTATGTATGTCCTGTCGGCTATTACTACACTGCGGTTTTTATACTGTGGGCTGAGCATAAATGATAGCGAACTCAATGTGTACCAAAAATGCGAGTATATTTGCGATTTCACGACGGGGGTCACGTCCAATCAGTCAACGAAGGGGCACTGGCGAAAAATAACGCCCCCTCCGCTTCATAGCGTCGGCACGATATGAGCGCATGTGCAACAGGCATTCCAAAAATTTAGCGTCTGGGGAAAAGGTGTGCATAACACCGCGAACCCCCGAGACACTAGCCTTCCTCGCTTCCCCTTTGGAAGACGGTTGTTTGTGTTTTGGTATGCCATCACATGTAGTTTCCTTTTCAGTTCGGGGCCCAGTCCAATTTTGAGAGGAAAGTGCTTCAAGTGCGGGGAGCGAGGCCGTGTTGGTACGTTGAGGCGGGCTGAGGCATTTTTTTCAGCTCAGTCCCCTCCTTCCTCCCGCATTTATTTAGCGAAACGACACCCTTGTGCGTCATGCAGAGGTTTGGTTGGCGAGTTCGGTGTCTCAGCCACGTCAGATTTTTCGATATCCTGCTTCCTCGCCTACACAACGCTTCATGCTTTCTTGACGTTTATTAGCATTAAATGGATGAATGCCAGGTGGCTTAGTTCGAACAGCCGAACGATTAAGGTCGGGCGTAAACACTCGTAACACATCTGCTCAGTGTTACTGTATTGAAATAACAACTGGTAATTGCGACTGGACTACAAAAGCCCACACGCTCAGCACGACGCCCTTGTTGATTGGGGTTTTAGGGCGCGCCAACCAGTTAGCTCATTTTGCGCCCACAATAGCTAGATCAGTACATAGGCGTGTAAATGGCTAAAAATCCTACCTTACCCAAAAATGAAAACAGCTAAGTCGTGGCAAGAACGCGAGAGTCGTCACCAATGTCTGAATAGGTCAGAACTGGAGCATCTCGACCAAAATAGCGTGACCGCTTTTCAGCGGAATGTGGACACAGGTAAACGAACCACAACGCCCTGAGACCGACAGCTTCATAGTGCGCAAGGACAACGCTATAGGTCACAGCCATCTCACGGCATTCTGATGCACTGTAAGGCTCGAACGGGAGCGTCTGGGCGGAGATGAGTCGTTGGCCGTGAAAGGGCGGCTGGCTCCTCAGCCGTTGGCTGTTCTGGCTCCAGCTCGGTCGAGTTGTCGGCGTGCTGTCCCTGCCGCTGCTGTCCAGCTGGCCGTCACCGCCGCTGGGTTGTCGCTGCTGCCCAGCCAGCCGTCCCCGCCGGTGGGTTGTCGCTGCTGCCTACCAGCGTTGTCGCTGCTGGTCAGCTGGCCGTCACCGCCGGTGGGTTGTCGCTGCTGCCCAGCCGGCCGTCCCCGCTGGTGGGTTGTCGCTGCTGCCCGGCCGGCCGTCACCGCCGCTGGGTTGTCGCTGCTGCCTAGCTGGCCGTCACCGCCGGTGGGTTGTCGCTGCCGCCCAGCAGGACGACCTGCTACCGGGTAATCATATTCTGCCGATGAAGAGCTGTCGTGGGCATAGCAGCTTCTGCAACAATAGCTCTCTTCGCCCTCTTCGCTGCTGACGGACCCGCCTGCGCCATCCCGCTGGTACTGGAGGAGCCAGGTGTCGGCTGAATGGTCCCATTCCCTGTGAATAGATCCAAGCATTAGAACAAGCTGATGACGACCGAGCACACATATCGGGTTGTTTTTACTTGATGAAGAACATTCTCAGATACGTCAACTCTCCAAAACTAGAAATACTAAGATCATCAGCTACCCACTTACACGTTTACGTGTCCGAAACCCCCGCTCCATACAAACCAAACATCTACACACCACACTGCCTCACCAAAGACTAACCTGTGATCTTGTGTAGCTCCGCAGTTATCTCTCGGACATTATTCCGGTACAGCTCCCAACAGATGGCAGGGGTGATCCGCAGGGCGGTTCATTCATGGAACAGCATCTGCCACTCCGATCACCACGAGAGGCAATCTCTGCTGTGAACCTGAAGGCCCTGGTACGACTCTGAATCACATCCCCAGCAGCATCACCCAGAAATCCTCCAAGTTGATTGTTGGTGGTAGTCAAGGCACGAACCAACGACCCGACGGGCATGACCCAACGTCTCTGGGGCAGACTCGTACTTCACTGCCACATGCATCTCCTCACCACCCAGCAGTTTCTTAAATTCATCCCTGTTGGCCTCACACACAGTGCTCTCTATGAGAGTTCAACAGCTATGCCAGGTAAAACACACTAGCATTGTTCATGTTACTCATAGTAATGCTGCTGATCTTGGGGTTTTAGCGCGCACCGACTTCTGGGGTCATTTTGCGCCCTTAATAGCCCTTAGCCCGTAACAGCTAAGTGGTCACCTAGGTTCCCGCTCCGAAGCGGCCTCGGACGAAGAGAGCGAGTGAAGAGAACTCGAATGAAGCGGACACCGACGCGAACACTTCGGACAGAGACGCACGAACTGCAACACGCGTGTTTTAACAGAACGGCCGCCCGGCTGCTAGCCTAATGTGTCACACCCCATGTGCTACATTGGTGCGGTGACCCGGATTTATTAAATGTATCGCGTAGTTGCAACTTTCGACAACGCGGCGTGCATCTGGAGTCCCAGCTACTGATCGAGCCAAGAAACACGGGAAGCGAGCTCTGTATCGCCACCAAGCTTGACTTGGATCCGGACTTTAATCCACGTCCACCTGCTTGCAAGCGTCGAAATCGAAGAGCATGAAAAACTAGCAACAAGACACACCAGGAAAAGCAGAGCAAACAGGCCACCTTCGCCAGACCAGGCCGCAACATGAGGAAGACTTTCGCACCAGAGAAAACACACAGAAAGGGGAGGGTTTTCACGACAGAGCAAACTCAAAGCACAGGAAATGACAACAGCAATCGCTAGCAGCAAAGGAAATGGCAACAGCGATCGGTAGCAGTAATAGCAACACGTGACGGCCTTCCCGTCTGAATGATAACTTTGGTTGGGATTAGAGACCTTTTGGCCGGCATTGGCTGCTTCAGGTCTAAGGAAGAGAGCCGCCAGCATCACCGCTGACCGTTCTGACCCGTCTTTGTGCTAGCATGGGCCGGGCAGTTGACATCCTACATGCCGGTGACTGCGTAGCTGAACTCAGCCACAGCAACACTTCCCCACTGTCGCCCCAGCCCTCTCTCCAACTTTTCCCCCATCGCTGTTCTCTTTGACCTTTCTCCGTCACCGTTCTGTCTGACCTATCCCCGTCACTGTCCTCTCCGTCTTCTCGTCGCACTGTTACGTCTGACCTATCCCCGTCATTGGCCTCTCCGACTTCTCATCGTCACTTTTCTTTCCGACCTCTCCCTGTCACCGTTCTCTCGGACCTCTCCCATGCAAAGCGGGTGTGCACTGGTCGTGATGTGTGGAGCCAACGTCACATTGTTGGTGACCAATGCTGCGCTGAGCAACCCTGCTCTCTCGGAAATCGCTCACACATGCATGCATCACCGTAACGACTGCAAATTGTCACCGCCAATAACGATCTTCTGTGTGTTACGCCACCAAACGGAGTACAAGGCAAATCAAAGCACTTGGCTTTTGCGTCGTCTCTCAACGTGTGCGCAGCGAAAGCCTAGCGTCCAGGCAGAGGAGAGCCTGGCTGCCAGCGCAAGCAGACACCGGGTACAAAACTTTTCAGCAGCCGCCGTGTAAGTGTAACACAGCACGGCCGCACTTCAGACCGCCTTCTGTGCAGAAACTGAAATCTAGGCTAACTTAACTAGACCAATGGTAGTCAGCACAAGCTGACAGAGATGAGGACAAACTGTACTGCGGTGAGCAATGCCAAGCAGATCCATATGTGAAGTCTCTTCAAGCTGATCTCGACAACGCTCGGTGCCAGGCAAACAAAAAAACAGGACATGATTAATATCTGGACAACGCTCTGTGCCAGACCAATGAAAGGCAGGGCAGACCACTACCTGGACAGCGTTCTGTGGCAAGCTACCGAAAACCATGTCGTCATCAATATCGGGACAGCGCCCTGTCCCGGGGTACCGAAAACCGGGACGTGGCAGATCAAGCCAAAAACACCGCTGCAAGGTCCGCTGCTACCAAGTGACCTGATTCGATAGCACACGTCGCACACGAAACTTCAGTAAACGTTGCACGCAACTATCTAGAGAACGCCATCTAGCCAACATTCTGTTGCAGGATACTGAAAAACAGGAGATGATCAATATCGGGACAGCGCCCTGTCCCCGGGGTACCGAAAACCGAGATGTGGCAGATCAAGCCAAAAACACCGCTGCAAGTTCCGTTGCTACCGAGTGACCTGATTCGATAGCACACGCCGGACACGAAACTTCAGCAGACGTTGTCGGCCATTGAATGCCTACTGAATGGGATCAATGACCGACAGCATACGCCGGACACGAAACTTCAGCAAAACGTTGCACGCAACTATCTAGAGAGCGCCATCTAGCCAACATTCTGCACTGAAAAACAGGAGATAATCAATATACGGGAGGCGAGTTCTGTATCGCCACCAAGCTTGACATGAATCCAGACTTGAATCTATGTCCACCTGCTTGCACTCGCCCCCGCCTCCGTCACCACAGCGAGCGGTCTGCTTGCTATGCAGCCTTGAAACTGAAGAGCACGAAAAACTAGCAACAAGACAAAGCAGGAAAGGCAGAGCAAACAGGCCACCTTCGCCGACCAGGCCGCAACAGGAGGACCTTTGTACCAGAGAAAACGCACAGAAAGGGGGAGGGTTTTCACGACACAGCAAACTCAAAGCAAAGGAAATGGCAACAGCAATCGGTAGCAGTAATGACAACACGTGACGGCCTCTCCGTCTGAATGATAAATTTGGTAGGGATTAGAGACCTTTTGGCCGACATTGGCTGCTTCAGGTCTAAGGAAGAGAGAGGCCGGCATCACCGCTGACAGTTCTGACCCGTCTTTGTGCTAGCATGGGCCGGGCAGTTGACATCTTACATGCCGGTGGCTGGGTAGCTGGAGTCAGCCATAGCATAGCTAAACATTTCCCCGCTGTCATCCCAATCTCCTCTCCAACTTTTCCCCCATCGCTATTCTCTCTGACCTTTCTCCGTCACTGTTCTGTCTGACCTATCGCAGCCACTGTTCTCTCCGACTTCTCATCGTCACTGCTTTATACGACCTCTACCCGTCACTTTTCTTTCCGATCTCTCCCCGTCACCACTCTCCCGGACCTCTCCCATGCAAAGCGGGTGTGCACTGCTCGTGATGTGTGGAGCCAACGTCACATTGTTGGTGACCAATGCTGCGCTGAGCAACCCTGCTCTCTCGGAAATCGCTCACACATGCATGCATCACCGTAACGACTGCAAATTGCCACCACCAATAACGATCTTCTGTGTGTTGCGCCAGCAAACGGAGTACGAGGCAAATCAAGGCACTTGGCTTTTGCGTCATCTCTCAACGTGCGCGCAGCGAAAGCCTAGCGTCCAGGCAGAGGAGAGCCTGGCTGCCAGCGCAAGCAGACACCGGATACAAAACTTTTCAGCAGCCGCCGTGTAAGTGTAATACAGCACGGCCGCACTTCAGACCGCCTTCTGTGCAGAAACTGAAATCTAGGCTAACTAAACTAGGCCAATGGTAGTCAGCACAAGCTGCCAGAGATGAGGACAAACTGTACTGCGGTGAGCAATGCCAAGCAGATCCATATGTGAAGTCTCTTCAAGCTGATCTCGACAACGCTCGGTGCCAGGCAAACAAAAAAACAGGACATGATCAATATCTGGACAACGCTCTGTGCCAGACCAGTGAAAGGCAGGGCAGACCACTACCTGGACAGCGTTCTGTGGCAAGCTACCGAAAACCATGACATCATCAATATCGGGACAGCGCCCTGTCCCGGGGTACCGAAAACCGGGACGTGGCAGATCAAGCCAAAAACACCGCTGCAAGGTCCGCTGCTACCAAGTGACCTGATTCGATAGCACACGCCGCACACGAAACTTCAGTAAACGTTGCACGCAACTATCTAGAGAACGCCATCTAGCCAACATTCTGTTGCAGGATACTGAAAAACAGGAGATGATCAATATCGGGACAGCGCCCTGTCCCCGGGGTACCGAAAACCGAGATGCGGCAGATCAAGCCAAAAACACCGCTGCAAGTTCCGTTGCTACCGAGTGACCTGATTCGATAGCACACGCCGGACACGAAACTTCAGCAGACGTTGTCGGCCATTGAATGCCTACTGAATGAGATCAATGACCGACAGCATACGCCGGACACGAAACTTCAGCAAACGTTGCACGCAACTATCTAGAGAGCGCCATCTAGCCAACATTCTGCACTGAAAAACAGGAGATAATCAATATACGGGAGGCGAGTTCTGTATCGCCACCAAGCTTGACATGAATCCAGACTTGAATCTATGTCCACCTGCTTGCACTCGCCCCGCCTCCGTCACCACAGCGAGCGGTCTGCTTGCTATGCAGCCTTGAAACTGAAGAGCACGAAAAACTAGCAACAAGACAAAGCAGGAAAAGCAGAGCAAACAGGCCACCTTCGCCGACCAGGCCGCAAACAGGAGGACCTTTGTACCAGAGAAAACGCACAGAAAGGGGGAGGGTTTTCACGACACAGCAAACTCAAAGCAAAGGAAATGGCAACAGCAATCGGTAGCAGTAATGACAACACGTGACGGCCTCTCCGTCTGAATGATAAATTTGGTAGGGATTAGAGACCTTTTGGCCGACATTGGCTGCTTCAGGTCTAAGGAAGAGAGAGGCCGGCATCACCGCTGACAGTTCTGACCCGTTTTTGTGCTAGCATGGGCCGGGCAGTTGACATCTTACATGCCGGTGGCTGGGTAGCTGGAGTCAGCCATAGCATAGCTAAACATTTCCCCGCTGTCATCCCAATCTCCTCTCCAACTTTTCCCCCATCGCTATTCTCTCTGACCTTTCTCCGTCACTGTTCTGGCTGACCTATCGCAGCCACTGTTCTCTCCGACTTCTCAT